TCACATGGTTGCTGGAACCTGAACACCATTTCTCTGCAGAGTAGCCATTGCCCTTAACTATGGAGCCGAGCCGTCTCTTCAACCCCATTTCCTCACCGTACCGGAGTGTAGGCTCTTCTGGCTGTCTGGCCTGCCTGATAGGAAGCTTGCTGTGATCAAGCTCAGCTTGTCGCCCCAGCAAGGGAGTTCCCCCTGGATCATCTTCCTTAGAGAGAGGAAAGAGCTGAGCCACAAGTGATGTCAGTTCAATCAATGGCCCCTCTTATAGTTCTTAGCAGTGACCTGGGAGGTGAGGCAGCCTTAAGGGGAACCTGATGAATAGGGATGAGAGACACTGGGAAGTGGGGAAGGCGCACAGGCTGGGAGCCCCATGAGCAGAATCGACAAGGAGGCATCCGATTACATGCTGGGGTTATTACCTTGGGGAGAGGGAACTGGACAAGCCTGCCTTTCCATTATGCAAAGAAAGGGCTTTTCAAGTAAATTTCCATTTAAGTAGGCGTTTAGACCGTGAAGATGGGGCCATAATAGCTCTGATGGCACCACAGCTATTAAAAATACATTTTCCCCTGCGCTCAGGCTGCCTTGTCATCTTATCATTTATCCCCAGACGACTGTGACCGACCGTGCCCAACCATCTGGGAAGCAGGTTACCGTTGATCTCTATTTTCAACTTTCAAATTCTTCGACATACACAGTGGATAAAATTCACATGGTTGACACAGCCCACTGATGTTCTAGAATGTGATATAACCTGAAGGTTGGGTTGGGGAAGGAGGGACATGGTGGGAAGAAGCAAAGCTCTCTGTTCATTAGTCATCGTCGGGCTCCCATCTCTCCTCATACCACCCTGTGCCGCACAGCCTCCATCTGGGTCCTCGGACATACATGCTGTGCTTTTAGCTCAAGGCACTCAGGTTATTGGTTCTGCTGCCTGGATTCTTCCCCTGCACTACCAGGCTGACTCCTATCTATCCTTCAGGTTTCTGTTGGAACCCGATTTCTTCTCTGAAGCCTTCTCGATAGACTTCCCGGACCAGATGAGGGCCTTATGTCTGTTCTATATTGTTGCGTAATAATCCGCTCCTGCCGAGCTCTCAGAACTCTCTACTTCCAGATGGACTCAGCCTTGCCTGGAGTCAGTTTTGCGTTTCAGTCCTGCTGCTGGCGCTCTGGTGGGCTTTGCAGAGCCTCAGCCAGAATGGGAGGGGAAGCAGGGGCAGAGAGATGTCTGAAGCTAACCTGGTGCCTGCTTATGTAGTGTCTGCAGGGCAGCAAGAGGGTAAAGATCAAAGCTGCATGGTCTCTTATGACCAAGGCTCACAAGTGACATCACTCTCTATTAGTGTAGTCTCTTGATTGGAGCAAGTCACAGAATTAATGGAGACGCAAAGGAACTGATACAAATTCACCTCCTGGGACAAAGTCACACTATAAAGGGGCACCTAAGCAAGACCAGGAGAACTTGTGGTCACTTTGCTCCCAGCCTAGCACTGACCTCCCTTGTAGCTTTTCCCTCCATGCGTCTCTTATAACTGTTTTCAGTTTTTGTTGTAGTTTTGAAAGACCTTAAACTCCCCTCTCCACACCCTACATGCTGGGATTACAATCACGTCACCACATCTGGCTTGTTTTGTTAATTTTGAGAAAGGGTCTCACTCTGTATCCCAGACTCTTCTGGAACTCACTGTAGAATGCAGGCTAGCCCCCGGTTCACAGCCTACTTCAGCTTCCCAAATGTTGGGAGTGTAGACAAGAGCCATCAAACGCAGCCTCTATTATTACTGAGTGTGTGATTGTTTGTTTACTGTCTTTCTCCCTCATGATACAGGAATGTCTGTAAACGTGGATTCATCTTTCTCTTCGATCTATCCCAAGATAGATTGAGTAGGTAAGTGGCTATTGAATAAATAGACACAGACACACACACACAAGAATTAAGGCAGCCCAAATGTCACTGACTGTGACACTGAGAACTGTCTTGGGAACGTGTAAACTGACTTGCTGGGAACTGACTGCTCTTTCTTTCCTTATGGAGTCTAGACTTAGTGAGTTCTTTCTGGCAGCAGCCAGCTCCCACTGTACATTGGTCTCAGGACTTTTGAGCTAGTGTTTCTAATTCAGCAGGCGGGATGGAGGGATGAAGAGCTCCACCTGCCGGCCGGATCCAGGATTACAACAGGGAACAGCATTGGAGTTTTGCCCAGGATCTCAGGTACCATCAACCTTGTGCACATGATGCCGGAGGCAAGGTTTCCAGACCTGGTTTCTTCGGGAATGTCTGGACAGTCCCCATATCACGTCATCCTGTTTTCTTTTTATTTCTCTCATTGTCATGACGAATCTATAAGATGGGCTTTTTAGCATCTGAATAAGAACACAAGGTCTACTTCATAGCACCCAATAACAACTGAAAACATATAAATAAGAAGGAATAGTATCGACCAGCAGGTTGGCTCAGTGAGTAAAGGTACTTTTCAAAGAACCTAATGATCCGAGCTAGGGCCCTACAACCCACTGGGCAGAAGGAGAGCACTGACTCCCGAAGGTTATCCTGTGAGCTCCTCAAATGCGCACAGCAGGTGCACACCCACACGTGTAACCACAAGCACAATCAATTAATTCAAAATGTAAGGAAAATTTAAAACTAACAACATCACGAATTTAATGTTATGAAAATGTAGTGGAAGAATAACAGACATTTGGTGTGCGGGCCTTGAGGTCACCTCGTCTAAATTATCACCTGAGGTTGTTCTCTACTTGTGATACGGAGATAAGGATACTTGTTTGCAGTAGGCAAAAAGGATCACATATGTCAAGGTCTTCTGCAATGATCCCTGGGCCTTAGGTGCCGGAGTTGTGTTCTAGATGTTACCGGCTGGGGCTGGGTACCGCAAGAGCTCTTGTTCTCTGCCTTTTGATTGGTTGTAGTTTTCTTTAATAATCTTTATCTGTTGAAAAGAAAAGTTTCTTTAAAATTATTTCAAAGGTAGGCACGGAGCTGGTGGAGATGGTTCAGTGAGTTAAAGTACTTGCTGCCAAGCCTGACCACCTGAGGTCACCCCCAGGGCCTACACAGTGGAAAAAGGGAAGCCACTCCCTACTAGGTGTCCTCTGACCTACACACACACATACACACAGAGAGAGACACTAAATAAGTAAATGTAATAAAGAAAATTTAAAGCCAGGTGTAGTGACATATATTTATTAATTGCAGCACTTAGGAGGCAGAGGCAGGAGGATTAGGAGTTCAGAGCTATTCTTGGCTACATTGAAAGGAGTTCAAAACCAGACTGTACAACATGAGACTTTTGTCTAAAAAAAAAAAAGCTAGAAAGTGATTTTCGATAAAATATGTTATTGTAAATTTAAACTTTATCATTAAAAATTAAATTATCTTTTCACCCCTTATCAAAGAAATGTCTGTGAGTTTGAGGCCAGCCTGGGCTACACAGAGAATTCCAGGACAGCCAGTACTACAGAGACTTTTATCTCAAGAAAGACCCCAAACTAAACCCAAACAAAGAAAAAAAATCCAAAGGATAATAAACTAGCTCAAAAGATTCCCAAGGTGTTTTAGATACTTTTCTATTGCTGTGAAGAGACACGGTAATCAAGGCAACTTATAAAAGAAAGCACTTATTTGAAGCTTACAGTTTCAGAGAGTTGGAATCCACAGGCATTACTCATGGTAGCAGCAGGCAGGCATGATGTTGGAGCTGTGGCTGAGAGCTGACACCTCGGTGCACAAGCAGGAGGCACAGACAGAGCTACCTGGGAATGGTGTGGGTTTTTGAAACCTCAAAGCCCTCCCCAGTGACACACCTCCTCCAGCAAGGCCACAGTTCCTAATCCTTCGCAAATAGCTTCACCATCTGGGGACCAGTTATTTCAACACATGAGCCTCCGGGGGGGTCATTCTCATTCAGACAACCACAGAAGGGAATTAGTGAGCTTCTACTGATATTACTATGTGCATTTTTAAAAAAATCCCTCTATGTTCCTCAAGGCTAGTCTAGAACTTCTGGACTCATGCAATCCTCCTTTCTCAACTCCCAGAAGAATAGGACTACAGGCATGTGCTACCACATCTGGCTATATGAAAGACCCTTAGGTTAATGAACAAGTCAGTGATGCTTAGCAGTACACATCTGTAATTTCAGCACATAGTAGGTGGAGGAAGGAAGATGAGGAGTTCAAGGCCAGCCTGAGCTCCATGAGAACCTATCCCCACAAATCAATCAAACAACAAATAAATGTTAAGTATCTTCCTGTAACTTGGGGGGGGGGGGTGTTAAGGATTGAACCAGGGCAAGATTTATCCCTACAGCACTCTGCATGTGATAGTTAAGAGCATCTAGTTTATAATTCAGAATTTTTCCTGAGCCTGATATTGTTTTCTTATCTATAAAACTGTGGCGACAGAATGATAGAAATACCATAGCTCTGATTTTAAAATTCAATCAGATTATATTTGTAGAAGTACACAACACTTCATCAGGTAACCTCTCAATCAATACTGACTGCTTTTTCCCTGTTGGGGCGAGACGGAGGGTGATAAAGAGGAACGGTTTTCCACGCGGGGTAGTGCATCTTAATATACTTCAAGGAAAAATCCCAGGGGAATCTGCGAATTCGTTCCAGGATACATCCATCATTGCCATCCCCAGGCAAAGAGTCTTCCCATAAGCCACACCCCTTTCATGCTTCGTTAAAGATGAAACCGCTAAGGTGCATAACTCTCGCTCTTCTCCATCTTTTCTTGCTACGAGACCTCAGGCCCCCACTCATCAAGTCCTTTATTTATCTTCCTTCACCTTCTCGTTCTAGTTTACCTCTCTCTATATCTCTTGCCACTCAGGGTGTAATTGTCTCTTTCTCCCCACCCCGCCCCACATAGCCTTTTCGGCACATTACGAAGAAGGTTTGTGACTGGTTGTTTCGGAGCAAGGCTAAGCCAATGAGAGGCAGACCTTTTCGGCTTTGCCGAGCAATTATTGTCGACGCTGATTGGCTGGAGCGTCCGAGGGAGGAAAATGGCTGCGAGTACCTCGGTAGTCTCTGTGGCCACGGCAGGCGCCACGGTACCGGGCGTGTCCTCTAGCGCGGATTTCTCAGACTTGCGAGAAATTAAGAAGCAGCTGCTGCTCATCGCGGGGCTCACTCGGGAGCGGGGTCTGCTTCACAGCAGCAAATGGTGAGAGGTCGCGGTCGGATGGGGCGGTGCTGGATCTCGGCCTCGGGCGGGGGGCTCGCGTGCTGATGCAGTTTGCGTGGTGTTCCAGGTCCGCGGAGTTGGCCTTCTCTTTGCCCGCCTTGCCTTTGTCCGAGCTGCAGCCGCCGCCGCCTCTTACAGAGGTAAGGACATCGTTACAGTGGCGTTCCCTAGCCACAGAGGGATGCGGCCCAAGAGGTCCCCAGCGTCCTGTCACTGGAGGAGAGCCCTCTGCTCAGTGGAAATGATGTAGCTGAAACGCCAGCGTTTGAACTCGGCCTTACGAACGAGTTCATGTGTGGGGGTGGCTTGTGCCTTGGAAGATGTAGTCTGTGCTGTTACTTAAGCTGGGGAGAATTGGTAAACAATTATTGTTTGAGATTTCAGCCTTGATGGGGTTGAAGGGATGGCACAATGGTTAAGAACCTCTGTTCGATTTCCAGCACCCTCAGCAGGCGTCTCAAAATCTCTTGCAACTCCAGCTCTTCAGGGGGTCCCACACTGTGTTCTCCACGGGTACCCACACTTATGCGGTCTATGGATACACATGCATACACATAAAGAAAAAGAAATCTCTTTTTAAGAAATTCATCCTTGGCCTGGAGAGCTGGCTCATCAATTAGCACTTGCTCCTCTTCTAGAAGAGCTGTATTTGATTCCTAGTATCCACAGAGGCAGCTAACAAGTTACCTGTAACAAAGTTCCCGGGAGATCCGATGCTTCTGGCGTGGGACAGCACCAGGCATGCATGAGGTGAACAGACACGTTCAGCCAAACCACTCACACACAGAAAACAAAAACAAACAAAACCCTGGAGCCTTTAGGGTGTGAGGTCAACTCGGACAATGCTAATAAGAAACATGAAATAAGGTTTTTGCAATAGAATGAAATCATTCTTCTACACTGTAACTCTTCGCGGCAAATTGATTAAGAGTCTGGATTTGGGCTGGCCTGTGTCACATGCTTTTAACCCCACTCAGGAGGCAGAGGCAGGTAGATCTCTGCGTTTGAGGCCAGCCTGGTCTACAGAGCAAGTTCCAGGACAGCCAAGGCTACACAGAAAAACCCTGTCACATTCCCCTTCCCCGAAAGTGTTCTAGGCACATACGATTCAGTAAAATCAACCATTCTCGTTAGCAGCAGGAGGTAGAGTGCAGGCGACTTGCAAGCAGGTTTTCTTCTGTATTTCAGGCATGTTCTCTACTAAAACCATCAATGTTGGCAGGTGGCAAGCTTTCTGCAGCTGGGTGTGGTGGCTCATTCCTGTAATTGCAATACTTGGGGTACTGAGGCAGGGGGATTGCCAATTGTTTGAGGCCAGCCTATTGAGTAAGCACCTACTTCAACCCTCCCACTCCCTCCTAAAAGTGACAGCCTTTTCCGTTGTCGATAATATTAATAAATTTCCAGTTTCCTAGAAGCAGTAAAGCAATGAGGCATATAGTATTTTGTATGAGCTTTTAAAGTCACTGTGATTTGCATCTGTCTCATTAGCTTGTATTTCTCTGTGCTGTCACAGTGCCTAGGCACATGGTTGTCCTTAGCAGGATAAAGCTGTGTTGAATGAGTAAACAATGAACACTCTCAAGCAGAGAAGAGCTTCAGTAAATAGCCCCTTCTCGAGATTTCATGTCACTTGGGCCAGATAAGATGCTGACAACTTGAGTTGGACTCCTGGACCACACAAGATGAAGGGAGAGAACTGACTTCTGAAAGTCTCTATGTACTCTCTCTAAGTAAATGCAAAATACATAAATAATTTTTAAGAACTCACATAACACTTACAGACATTATAAATGTTAGCTATTGGTGAGTTTAATAGCTTCCAGGTTGCTACGAGATATGTTGACTTAGAAGCCTCTTTGCTGAATTGTTGAGCACGTATTTACTTATTTTTCGCTAGGAACTGTCATGGAAGAAACGTTTAAGTCTAATTTTGCCTTGATCTGTAATTTAGAGTAAACATTAAAACTTAAGGTATTTGGTTTTTGTTTTGTTCTCTTTTAGGTACTGGATCTAGGACCTGTGCTAAGCAAGCTCTCAACACTGAGCTGTATTTTATATTATCAGTTCTCTTTTTACTTAAACAAAAACATTTGTTTTCATTTTATGTATCTGGGTGTTTGCCTGTGTGCGCGCACGCACAGCACATTCGTGCCTGGTGCTTATGGAAGCCAGCAGATGGCGTCAGATCCCCATTAAGCTGCCTCGTGGGTGCTGGGATCCAGACTCAGGTCCTCTGCAGGAGTAGCCAGTCCTCTTACCAATTGAGCCTTCTCTCCAGCCCCACTCTTTGTTTTGAGATGGGATCTCACTGAGGGGCATTTTTTGAGACAGGGTTTCATTATGTAGCCTTGTGTGCTAGACAGTTTAATGTCAACTTGATGTGGGAGGGTCCAGTCCATTGTGAGTAGTGCCATCCCTGGGCTGGTAGTCCTGGGTTCTATAAGGAAGCATGATGGGCAAGCCAGTAAGCAGCACCTCTTCTGCATCAGCACCTGCCTCTATGTTCTCCCTGCTTGAGTTCCTTCCCTCACTGCTTTGATGATAGGGAACTGAAGTAAAATAAACCCTTTGCTCCCCAAGTTGCCTTGGTCATGGTGTTTCATTACAGCAGTAGTAACCCAGAGACACCCTGGCTGGCCTGAACTTGCTTTGTAGACCAGGCTGGCCTCAAACTTACAGAGATCTGCCTGCCTTTACCTCTCGAATGTTGGGATTAAAGGTGTGTACTACCATGTCATGTACTGATCAGAAGATGACTTTTGGGAGTTGGTTCTCTCCTTCTACCATGTGGGTTCTAGGTATCAAATTCGTGTTTTCAGACTTGGTGCCAGGCTCCTTTACCCATTGAGTCATCTTGCTGGTTCTAAAATACAAATGTAAAGACCATATAGTCCAAGTAGTAAAATTTTCTGAGTTACATAGGTACATGAAAAGTTAGGAATATTATTTTATGTGTGTATGTTTATACAGTTTTGCATAACCATTTTGGTAGTGTTTGCTGGTCTCAGACTTAATATGTACACCAGCTTGGCCTTGGGCTTTTAATGATCCTCTTTCCTCTGCCTACTGAGTGCTGAGATTATGGGCACCATATCTGTCTTGGATGAATTTCATTATAATTCACGTAAAATTTTATTTATTTCCTTATTGTATATATATGTGCATGCATGCATGCCATGGTACATATATGGAGGTCAGTAAATAGCCTACAGGAGTAGGTACAGTTTTCCTGTCCTGAAGCCACTCTCAAATAATCACTCACAGGCTTAACATAAATTATAAATGCTTGGCCAATAGCTCAGACTTATTACTAACTATCACTTACAACTTAACCCATTCCTATTAGTCTAATGCTGCCCCAAGGTGCTTCGCTTTTACCTCTATCATATTTTGAATGTCTGACTCATTGCCCATCTGGCTGGCGACTTCTCTAACTCCACCCTTCCTCATTTCATCATTCTCAATTTGACTTTCCCACCTAATTTTATCCTGTTTAGCTATTGGTCAGTCAACTTGTTTATTAAACCATTCATAGTGACATTCACACAGAGTACAGAAGGATTATTCCATGGCCTGCAGGCGTTGGTTCTCCTACTGTGTGGGTCCTGGGAATTGACTCAAGTTTTCAGGCTTGGTGGCAAGTGTTCTTAACATTCTGAGTCATCTTGCTGGCCCCAACAAACCAAGACTTGTGTGTGACAAGCAGGCATATTCACCATTATAATAATGAAGATGACCTTTTTTTCTCCCCTCAAGATACCATTTTCTCTTCTCCCTGCCATCCCCTTTTCTTTTTGCTCCTTTTGACTTTCCTCCCCTCTTCTCTTGTGATAGATACTTTACTCATTGAGCCAAACCCCCAAACCCCTACCTACCTTCCTTCTTTCCTTCCTTTTCTTCTTCTTTTTGTTTTTCTTTTTCTTTTTTTGAGACAGAGTGTCATTGGCTGTTCTGTAGACCGGGCTTGGTTTGAAGTCACAGAGATCTGCCTGCCTCTGCCTCCCGAGTGCTGGAATTGTGCCACCATGCCAGGCCCCACTTTTTATTTGGAAAAAAAAATACTTTGGAAAAAAAATTCTTTGCCTTTACAGGTGATACATGTATTAAAAACTACTGTATAAATGCATGTATTTACATATTTTGGGGGAGGAGAAATAGTTTTTCTTTTCCTATATCTTGAAATTAATGAATATGCTTTTTAAGGTGAACTTTGACTGTCTTAGTCTTAACCACTCACATAACCTTGTTTATTCTAGGAGGATGCCCAGGATGTGGATGCCTATACCCTGGCCAAGGCCTACTTTGATGTTAAAGAGTATGATCGGGCAGCACATTTCCTGCATGGCTGCAATAGCAAGAAAGCCTATTTCCTGTATATGTATTCCAGATACCTGGTGAGGTTCACTTTAAGATGTTATTCTGCCTTCAGTGAAACATCTGTATTTAGAACCAAGAGGAAAAATTTTAATTTAAAATAAATTATATATACATATGTGTATATGTATATATGTGTGTATGTATGTATGTGTGTTTGTGTGTGTGTATATATACATACATATGTGTGTATATATGAATGTTTTATGTGCATATATTTATGTGTATCATGGGTGGGCCTGATACAAGCAGAGGCCTGAAGAGAGCATTGGCTCCCTAAAACAGGAGTTACAGATGGTTATGAACTGTTATGTGTATGCTGGAATTTGAACCTGGGCCATCTGGAAGAGCAACCAGTGCTCTTGACCACTGAGTCATTTTTACAGCCTTGAAAAAGTTTAATTTTTAAATACCTAGGTAGTAGGTCACCAAGTGAATATGCTTAATGACAATATTGCAGTAATAATAATAATAATAATAATAATAATAATAATAATGGAAGCCAGCCTGGTGGTGCATACCTTTAATTCTAGCACTTCGGAAGCAGAGGCAGGTGGATCTTTGTGAATTTCTAGCAGACTAGGGCTACACAAAGTCGAAAAAAAAAAAAAGAGTAACAAAGTTTAAAAAAATAGCAATGTAAAAAAAATGTAGATAGGGTGATTACTAACAGGATGACAATTTTCTTTGGGTTATTGCATTGATACTACTGCTTAAGAATTGGTAGGGTGCGGTGGTGTCTATAATCTCCATATTCTAGATGCAGAGAGCTAAGGATTCCAGCAGGTTCGAGGCTATCTTGGTCTGCACAGTGACTGGTGAGTTCCAGGCCAGGTAGTGGTGGAGATCCCAACTCAAAACAAAGGCCTGAAAGCAGGACACGATGTACACACGTAGAGCCCTAGTGCTTGGGGTGCCACACAGAAGGAGTAAGAGCTTGAGACCAGTTTGTGCTACATAGTATGATCCTGTCTCGGTAAACAAACAAAAAATAAAAAAAGAAAGGAGCCCCCACCCTAAAAATTCTACAATTGAGTTTAAAAAGTCTCAGTTGATTTAAAGTTTTTTAAACTCACTTATCACTCATTTGTAGTGTATTTATTATTTCATTAAACATTTTGACAAAAAGAACAATACAGCCTTGTATGGCTGGTCTCTATTGAAAAGTCTGGGTCAGCTATGGCTATAATAGTGAGAACCTGCCTCAGAAAACCTAAATAAGTAAGAAATGACAATGAAAGTAAAATTAATATTGTATTTGTAATTGTTTTGGATACTGTCCTACTGTGTAACATAGCCCAGGCTGCCCTGGAACCGTTATTCTGCCTGTACCTCTGCAGAGTGCCGGGTTTACAGGCATGCACTACCACATGCCGCTTTTCTTGGGTTTTCTTTCTTTTTTTGTTTTTTTTTTTTCCCAAGACTGGGTTTCTGTGTGTTGTCTTAAACATTTTGGAACTCATTCCATAGACCAGGCTGGCCTCGAACTCACAGAGATCCGCCTGCCTCTGCCTCCTGAGTGCTGGGATTAAAGGCATGCACCACCACCACCCTGCTGGATTCTCATGTTTTTGACTGTCTATAATTCATCATTATATTTAAGTCTTTGGTGCTCAATGTACTCCACATTTAGCCAGTGGGAACGCCTGAATGAATAGTTGTTTATAAGGCAGGTGTTATTTTGCGAAGACTTTAGTTAGCCTTGTAGATAGAGTCAGGTTGCTGCTTTTAGGAAGCATTTAGAATAAGGTGAGAAACCTGTTTATTGATTCTCCCCCTCTCTTACAGTCTGGAGAGAAAAAGAAGGACGATGAGACAGTTGATAGCCTAGGTATGTTTTTTCTTTTTCCTGTCTAACCTTTTGTACTAAAAAGCAGGTCTGCATACTTAGATGCTATATAGGCCATTGTAGGAACCATAAGTAGACTCCATGGCTCGTGATTTATCTCAGTTTCGGGTTGTCCACCCAGCTCCACCTCTTGGTTGCTGTGGGATTTGGCTTGCTTCCCTTAACCCATACTTGTTTTCTGCAACCTAAGGTGGACAATTCAGCTTTAATTGAAACTTGAGATTTGTGATGACTGCACACCAGCCATCATCTTGAGTAAATGGGTTGTGTGAGGGGTTGCAGGAATAATTTTGGTTGATTATAACAGAAATGTGTGTGTGTGTGTGTGTGTGTGTGTGTGTGTGTGTGTGTGTATGAATATTCTTTCCTCAGATGAATAATTCTTTCTCTCCTAGGACCCCTAGAGAAAGGACAGGTGAAAAACGAGGCTCTCCGAGAGCTGAGAGTGGAGCTCAGCAGGAAGCACCAGGCCCGGGGACTCGATGGATTCGGCCTTTACCTGTGAGTGTTACCAGGGGTTGGCGCTTTCAGCAGCATGTTTGCCCCCTTGAGGAGAGGAGAAGGGAGGAGACATTCTCGGGCTTTAACCTCCCTGGTGGCTCTGACTTACTTTCCCAGGTATGGGGTGGTGCTTCGGAAACTGGACTTGGTGAAAGAGGCCATTGATGTGTTTGTGGAGGCTACTCATGTTTTGCCTTTGCACTGGGGAGCCTGGTTGGAGCTGTGTAACCTGATCACAGACAAAGAGATGGTAAGTTGACATAAGCTTCATGGGAAAATGTGCTAATCTTGGTAGTGTTGTGGGGAGAACATGCTCTCACTGTGAACTTCTTTCCCCAGCCCCTTCGCTGTTCTGTTTGTGTGAACTTGCTAGGTAGCTTAGGGTTTATTTAACCTGGTGGTTCTTCTGCCTGCACGTACCTACCTCCCTGGGAGCATAGGCATGTACTCTCATGTCTGGCTTTTTGTTTGTTTGAGACAGAGGCTCTCTATGTAACCCTGGCTATCCTGAAACTCTGTGTAGACCAGGCTGCCTCTGTCTCCCATGTGCTGGGATTAAAGGTATGTGCCTTTATGCCCTGCCCTGAAATCTTTTTTATTAGTTACTGTCTGTGAACTTTGTTTAGTATTCATTTTGTCCTTTAGTAGTTGATAGAACAACACACTTCCTTTTGTTACTCCTAAATTGCTAAAGGTAGACCAGGCCTGGTGGTGAGTGCCTTTAATCCCAGCACCTGGAAGGCGGTTCTATATGAGTTCAAGGCTATCCTTACACAATCCTTCTGTGTATTGAAGTCCAGGCCAGCCAGGACTAAGACCTTGTTTTAAAAACTACAAAAACTAAAGGTGGGTTCATTTTTCTGTTCCCCCAACCATGGTTTGTACTGCTAACTCAGTGTCTGGAAATATATCTTTATTTGTATTCCCACTCCATGAGGCTTCCCTTGAAATCAAATTATGCAAAAGCAATTTTTTCATCTTGCATATCAAAATCTCTCTTCTTTTTCCTATCAAATTTTTTCTTCCTTTCTGCTTGATCATTATTACTATCACTACTCAAGATACCCTGAGTTTGGGTGGGAGTGGTTACTATTGGTTCTGGACATTGTAGGCATTAATTCCAGGTCCTTCCCTGAGCTGAGAAAGCTCTCCACCTCTGACGTGCATTGTAAGTCCAGGACATCCAGTCTCAACACCTCCAAGTCTGTCGCCGCCTTTCTCCTGTTTCTCGTGTGCTATGGTCGCTTTTCTATGGGAATTTCCTCTTGGCTGCTTGTCACCTCTCCTAGCATCTCAGATCTGGATTACTTAATTAATAACAGATACTTTCTCTCCAGCTTCTGGAGAATTTTCTCTTGACTGCTTGTCACCTCTCCTAGCATCTCAGATCTGGATTACTTAATTAATAACAGATACTTTCTCTCCAGCTTCTGGCTTACAGCACTCTTCCATTTCCAAGTTATCCTGTACACAGTTTCTAAAATTCCTTTTTTAAGAATGTTTTTAAAAAGATTTATTTAGTTTTATTTTATGTGTACAAGTATTTGCCTGGGTGCGTGTATGTGCACCATATGTGTGCAGGTTGCCCAGGGAAGTCAGAAGAAAGCATCTGAATCTCTAGAATTACAGGCACCTGTGAGCCACCCTGTGAGTGTTGGGACGGAACCCAGATCTGCTGCAAGAGCACCCCTACCCCCTCAGAGTGATCTCTTTATGTAGCCTGGCTGACCTGAGCTCTCTATGTAGACCAGGATATCACAGAGATCCACTTGCCTTACCTCCCAAAGAAGAGACAGAGTTTGTCTGTGTAGGTCTGACTGTCTTGGAATTTGCTGTGTAGTTCAGGCTGGCCTTGAGCTCACAGCCATCCTCCTGCTTCTACCTTCTGAGTGGTGCTAGGATTAAAAATGTGCACGACCACACATAGCTCTTTTTTTTTTTCTTTTGGGTCCTCGAGACAAGGTTTCTCAGTAGCTCTGGAGCCTGTCCTAGGACTTGCTCTGTAGACCAGGCTGGCTTCGAACTCACAGAGATCCTGCCTCTGCCTCCGGAGTGCTGGGATTAAAGGCGTGCACCACCGCCGCCTGAAAAGATGGTCTCTCTGTGAAGACTAGGCTGACATCACATTCATGGCTGTCTTTCTGTCTCAGCTTCCTGGGTACTGGGATTACAAGAAGGAGACATCTTAAAACACTTTGGGCAGAAATTTTCAGTAGTTTCTTAACTGTATCTTGTTTTCTAGTGTGTGATGGGGTCTACTTTTTTGACACAAAGCTTCCTTAAACAAAGCTAGTTTTAATTACTGTCCTCTTATTATTGCCCTTGGCTGGAATGCTGTTTCCCCTCTTCTCTCTATTCTATCTAGATTCTACTTATTCTCAAATTTTGTGTTTTGTTTGTTTGTTTGTTTGTTTAAGTCTATCTTACTGGGCCATTCTCTCCTAATTATGCTTATGAATCAAATTCAGTGAGATTACCCTGTATTCATTTGTAGATGTTCTATTAAGATTTTAGTGATGAATTGTTTTAGAATGCAATGATCTTTGGTGTTGTTTTGGGAGAAAGACCAGATTATACTAAGTGTGTCCCTCTCTCCGGGTGCTAGTTGAAGTTCCTGTCTTTGCCTGACACCTGGATGAAAGAATTCTTCCTGGCTCATATATACACAGAGTTGCAGCTGATAGAGGAGGCCCTACAGAAGTATCAGCATCTCATTGATGTGGGCTTCTCCAAGAGCTCATATATTGTTTCCCAGATTGCAGTTGCCTACCACAATATCAGAGGTGAGTGAACAAGGGTGCTGGGATGCCGACAGACTTGGGGTGCAGTTAGCTGGGTTTTGAACTCTGCCTTCTCTCTTTCAGATATCGACAAAGCCCTTTCTATTTTTAATGAGCTGAGAAAACAAGATCCTTACAGGATTGAAAATATGGATACATTCTCCAATCTTCTTTATGTCAGGGTAATTTGTTCCTCTTGATTGAGCTTGATGAAGCTCCTGGATTAGATATCATGTTTGCATTAGCTAAAGAATAAACACCTTCTGGGTGCTTCCTCAGGCTTACGTGATCTTCCTCTTTCTTCCCAGAGCATGAAGTCTGAATTGAGTTATCTGGCACATAACCTCTGTGAAATTGATAAATACCGAGTAGAAACGTGCTGTGTAATTGGTGAGAGTTGGCTACTTTTTCTTTTAAGATCTCTCTCTCCCCCTTTGTTGAGACAAAGTCTCTATATGTAGCGCTGGAACTTGCAGTGTAGACCAGGTTGGCCTTTAACTCACAGAGATCCCCTGCCTCTGCCTCCCAAGTGCTGGGATTAAAGGCGTGCGCCACCACCATTATTCTGAAAGTTATAGTTCTTAACTATATAACTATATAAAAATTAGTTCTATAACTTTTAGGACAGTGAACCCCACTGGAGGAAGTGGGTCACGGGGGAGGAGGGCGTAGTGCTGGGATTAAAGGCGAGCACCACTACCATGCAGCTGGTTTTTTTTTTCTGTTTTTAATTTTAAATTTTATGTGTGTAGATGTTTTGTTTGCATGTATATCTATGTACCGTGTATATACCTGGTTTCTATAGAGACGAGAAGAGGGCTTGGTCATTGGACCTGGAATTCTAAGTAGTTGTGAGCAGCCATGTGGGTGCTGGACATTGAATTTAGGTCCTTTGGTTCACAGCAGTGCTCTGAACTGATGAGCTATCATTCAGCCCCATCCTAGAGGTGTTGAGAGAGGGTCTCTCTTACCCTAGCCCAGAATGACCTAGAACCCTTTAGTCCTTACTGGCTTGTAACTCATGATAGTTTTTCTGCTTTTATTTGTGCTCACGCCTTGGCCTATGAGTGCAGGTGCCCACAGAGAATAGATGTGTCACATCGTTCTGGGCCTCATGACACAGGTGCCCTCTAAGGGCAGTGTGCACCCTTAGCTGCTGGCTGCTGAGGCGCCTCTCCAAGAACTCCCTTTGGCTTTCTTTTGTTTTTCTGAGATAGTTCTCTCAGTTAGCTTCATCCTGCTTCAGCTTGGCCTGTAACCAGTGGAGGATGACCCTGAACTGCTGATTCTTCTAACACCTCCCAGAGGCCGAGCTCACAGTGTGCTGCCCCACCCAGCTAGTATTTGGTTGTTTGTTTTCCAGACAGGATCCATATCTACCATTCACTGTGTGACTGTGGGTGACCTTAGCCTCCTGATTACTCTCAAGCATTGAGATTGCAGGTGTAGGTGTACTCGCTTTGTTTTTTTAAAAGACACAGTCTGTCTCCAGAGCCCTGACTTTCCTGGAACTGACTGTGTAGACCAGGCTGACCTAGACCTCAGAAACATCCTCCTGCCTCTGCCTCCTAAGTACTGGGTTTAAAGGCATGACCTGTTTTCCCTGGCAACAAAGATATTCTTATAGAGGGCATGAAACCCTGTTGCTTTAAAGCTTCTAGGTGAACATGAAATTGAGTTTGAACGCAAATAATCAGACATAGAGTAGAAACAGAATATAGTTAATTTCTAATAAAACCATTTTAAAAGCATACCAGGAATTTTTGTTGATAACAACTTACCAAAATGGAATCTTTTATGTAATAACTTCAAATTTTCATTATTTTATTTAACAATATCTCATGTTCTCTGCAAGTTAATATATATTGAAATCTATGTTTCACTGGCTTGTTGTGCACATATAATTTATACATAAGGGAAATTTTATTTTGATTTTTGAGGTAAGGTCTCAGCCTATAGCCTAGGCTGGACTGGAATTTACTGTGTAGCCCAAAGTGACCTGCAGCTCTAGGCAGACCTGCCTCATCCTCCTAAGTGGGATCACTACATCCAACTAAAGGGGGCAGTTGTGGAATTTTGTTTTGGTTGTTGCGCTTTTTCTCTTTATTATACTTGTTTGAGTGTGTGTTTTTATCCCATATATAACAGTGGTTCTCAGCCTTCCTAGTGTTGTGACCCTTTAATACAGTTCCTCATGTTGTGATCCCCCAGCCCAAAAAATGTTTTAATTTTTTTTTTTTTTTTTTTTTTTTTTTTTTTTTTTTTTTTTTTTTTTTGGTTTTTTGAGACAGGGTTTCTCTGTAGCTTTGGAGTCTGTCCTAGAACTAGCTCTTGTAGACCAGGCTGGCCTCAAACTCACAGAGATCCGCCTGCCTCTGCCTCCCGAGGGCTGAGATTAAAGGCAGGCGCCACCGCCCGGCAAAGAAAGGTGGTTCATGCATTGTTTTTTTGTTTTGTTTTGTTTTGTTTTTTGAGACAGGGTTTCTCTATGTAGCTTTGGAGTCTGTCCTGGAGCTCACTCTTGTGAGCTCACCAGTCTCTAAAATTATTTTTATTGCTATTGTTATGAATTATAATGTAACTGTAATGAAAACAATGTTTTCATAAAACATAAAATAAAATAGGAATAAAAATAGTCCTAGGTTGTCCTTGTGAAAGGGTCATTCAAATCCCAAAGGACCTGTGACCCACAGGTTGATAACTACTGATAAAAAATTACACACATATGTCAGATATGATGTAAAAGTAGTTAAATTATATTCTTACCTATGCTCTTTATTTTTCTGTACGTCATGAAAATCCCTTCAAGTTGGAACTGAGTTCAACGGTAGAGTGCTTGCCTAGGCCCCAGATTCATTGTTCAGCACTAATAAATGAAAAAATATAGTTTTTAAAAAAGAAGGAAACCCCTTCAAGTCTCATGACAATTTGACTTGGTTCCTTAAAGGAGGAAAAGCTTTATTGGGACGGAGAGCCAGCCACAGGACTTGCTGTGTTAAGTTCATGGCTGAAGGGAGTTTTCCAGCAACATTGCAGTCTGACTCCATCAACCTAACAATTTTCCTTTGTTTTTCCCATGCCCCAGGCCACTGGTTGACTTTCTAGCTTATAATTTTGCCTCATAGGAAGTTTATGTAAATGATTTTTTCCCCTGGCTGCCTAGAGCTTACTATGTAGACCAGAGTGGCTTCAAACTCACAGAACTCTGCCTGCTTTTTCCTCCCAAATGCGGATTTAAAGCTTTTCCCACCCATTCATCCAACACGCTTTTAAGACTCACAAATGTTGTAGCATCTAAAGCAATCTGTTTTCTTCCTGGATTGGGTCCCATTGTTTAGCTCTACCATATTTGCCTATTCATTCACGACTCATGTTAAGACAGGTTAGCTTTTAGACTCTTAAAATCTTTTTTTTTAATGATTTATTTATCTTTTATTTTATGTGCATTGGTTTGAAGGTGTCAGGTCCCCTGGAACCAGATTTTCAGACAGTTGTGAGCTGCCATGTGGGTGCTGGGAATTGAACTCGGGTCCTCTGGAAGAGCAGTCAGTGCTCTTAACCGCTGAGCCATTTCTCCAGCCCCGACTCTTCAATTTGTCTTTTCACAGACAGTTGTAATAGAATGCTATGATTCTTGGTTAAGAAGCTCAGAGCTCTCTACCTTTTTAATCCTTTTGAGAAATTCCTTTGAAGTCTAGGTTGAAAATGATCTAGTTTAGAATCACTAATCTAAACAAATAAAATTCAAGTCAGGCGTGGTGGTGTACTCTTTTAATCCTAGGAGGCTATCCTGAACTATGGCGTGGGTCCAGGACAACCAAGGCTACAAAGAGAAACCTTGTCTCAGAAAACAAAAACAAATAAATACCAAACTAAAGAATGCTATGGAAAAATCTCTCTCTCTCTCTCTTTTTTTTTCCTGACACAAGGTTTCTCTGTAGCTTTGGAGCCTATCCTGTAACTAGCTCTTGAAGACCAGGTTGGCCTCAAACTCACAGAGATCCACCTGCCTCTGCCTCCCAAGTGCTGGGATTAAAGGCAAGCACCACCACTGCCCAGCCTAAAATTCTTATATTACAAAATGTATATAAGTGCTGTATCTGTAGAAGATAAAATAAAGAAATGAGGGGAACAGTTTTTAATTTTTTATGTTTATATTAATTTATCTTTAAGGGTTTATTTATGTTTATTAGTGCTTGCCCATATGTATTTATGTATGTATGTCATGCCTGTATCATGCCCCCTGGCACTGGAGTTATGGGTAGTTGTGAACTGCTACATGGGTGCTGGGAATTGAACTCGGATCCTCTGGAAGAGCAGCCAGTGTTCTTAAGCCACTGAATCATCTCTCCTGCCCCTTTATTTTTATTGATGTGTACGTGTGTGTGTGTGTGTGTGTTTACTGTGAATCATTTTGTTTTTTTCTTTATCAGGCAATTACTATAGCTTACGCTCCCAGCATGAGAAAGCAGCCTTATATTTCCAGAGAGCCCTAAAGCTGAACCCTAGGTATCTAGGGGCCTGGACGTTGATGGGGCATGAGTACATGGAAATGAAAAACACATCTGCTGCTATCCAGGCTTACCGGTGAGCGTCCAGTTGGGTTGGAGGGACGAGTGGAACAGGAGGAGCCTCCGCTAAGCCTATGTGTTGCTAACCTTAATTCTTTTGCCATGTTTCTGTTTTGTCTATTTTCTTAGACATGCCATTGAGGTCAACAAGAGAGACTACAGAGCTTGGTATGGCCTTGGACAGACCTATGAAATCCTTAAGATGCCATTTTATTGCCTTTATTATTATAGACGGGCCCACCAGCTGCGGTAAGTTGGTTTCTTGACAATGTGGAAAGGGTTGATAAGATACCAATTCTGTCTCAGAACTAAAGGGTGTGGGTCTGGTCATTTTTACTTAGTTTCTCTACTAGTGGGTTTATCGGATAATTATAAACACAAAGTATGTAATTAAATGAAGCATTAACTGAAGAACAGTCCTTGCATAGATTGGGAATAGTGTGAAATAGTAGAGACTAACCTTTCATGTGAGGACTTGAGGTTTTGGTAAAGTCTTTGCTCTAACTATTTGTTACCCTTTTTCATAGTCCCAATGATTCTCGTATGCTGGTTGCCTTAGGAGAATGTTATGAGAAACTCAATCAACTAGTGGAAGCCAAAAAGGTACCTCAAATTTTGGCCTGGAGAATTTAAGCAGAAATATGTTGTTCAGAAGGACATTGAGCTGTACAGTGCTGTAGTCCCCTCCTCCCACATATTCTGATCTGTGTGTAGCAAAGTCTGAATATTTTGTAGGTGCATAGGATAAAAGAAATGTAGGCTGAGATTATCAGTGTGAATGTCTACATGTATAGCCTGGACCTATATAACAGGAAAAATGCTGTGTATTGTGTAAGCCTGCATTTCTAGAAGGCTTGCGTGGTCTTAGCGTTGATGTGATTAGTTGTTGTACATGGGCAGTGTCAGAAGTGACCAGTTTATTCTTCAACAGTGTTATTGGAGAGCATATGCTGTGGGAGATGTGGAGAAAATGGCTCTCGTGAAGCTGGCAAAGTGAGTGCAATGTTTCTGATACTTGTGCTGGTTTTCCTGAGGTCGTGTCATGAGTGTGGGCATGGAGCAGGGTGTGGAAAGGGTGTGGAAACACTGGTTCTGCAGTCGCGCACAGCTCATTTCTTTTCTCTGTTGTAGATGAATCCAGGACCTTATACATGCTAGGCACGAAGTTATATTCTGGCTTTAGCCTCTTGACTCTAGAGAGTTCCACTTCACCTTGAATTGGAATAGATTTCCTATTAGGCAAGAGATGAAAAATGAACTAAAAAAGATCTGAGTGGACTGGACATGTAGTTGAGTGGTCGAGGACTCGCCTAGCATGCATCAGGGCCTGTGTGCATGGGAGAATTGCTCAGAAGTAGTCAGCTGTTGGCTGTCGCTTTCATTCTTACCAGTGTTAGCAGGAAATTTTTGCAAGGGTATATTATCCAATTACCAGTTTAAGTCAACTACTCTTTTTTAAGAAGTTTTTTAAATTTTATGTATATGTTTGTGGTATGTGCATGTGGAGGTCGGGGACGCCCACCATTATGTGGGCCCTGGGAATTGAACTCAGTATCAGGCTTTGTTTCAAGTGCCTTCGAGTGCTAAGCCATCTCACCTAGCCCTTATGTAACTTTTTTTTTTTTTTTGAGGCATGGTCTTACTATGTAGCACTGGTAGACACTTTGCTTTTTGTTGTTGTTGTCATTTTTTGTTTGTTTGTTTTTTAGGAAAGGGTTTCTCTGTGTAGACCAGAGATCCCGTCTCTGCCTTCCTAGTGCTGGTGGATTGAAGCCGTGTACCATAGTAATCACTTAATAGGCACTGATTGTATTCTGGGTCTCAACATGTTATTTATGTTAAAATTTACTTGTTTATATGTCATTTCAGGTTTTATTTATGCTTTTACCTTTTAATATCTGACTTGCTTTGTGGTCTTTTATTTAAAGCCCAATTTCTTTTGTAGGCTTCATGAACAGTTGACTGAGTCAGAGCAGGCTGCCCAGTGTTACATCAAATACATCCAAGATATCTATTCGTGTGGGGTATGTGTCAGAGCATGAGAGCTGTGTCACTGACGGGTTCTTGTCACCTCAGTCATGCTTGCTTTCCTTATCTAGGAAGTAGTGGAGCACTTGGAGGAGAGCACAGCCTTCCGCTACCTGGCCCAGTACTATTTTAAATGCAAGTTGTGGGATGAAGCTTCAACTTGTGCCCAGAAGTGCTGTGCATTCAATGATGTGAGTATTGGATTCTAAAAGGTTTGGGTTTCAGGACAAAACATGTGGTCTTTACATGGTTTTGCCGGGAAGCTTACTTTGACTTGTGGGAGTCATCCATTACTTCCTTTTTTTTTAAGGGGACAAGACTCCTTTTATTTGTAAGGAATGTTCTGAACAGTATTTTAAGAACCAGCTTTTGAGAATAGCATTGAACACATTTTGAAACAGCTGTGACTTTGTTTCAGACGCGGGAAGAAGGTAAGGCCTTGCTCCGCCAGATCCTACAGCTGCGGAACCAAGGGGAGACGCCGAGCACTGACACGCCTGGTACCTTTTTCCTCCCTGCCTCCCTGTCTGCAAACAACACGCCTACACGCAGAGTTTCTCCACTCAACCTGTCTTCAGTCACGCCATAGTTGACAGCTCTCAAGGCAGCGCACTGCTAGACCAGTATTAAGCCTTACCTCCGGTAAAGAACAGCCACACCTGTTCTCCCAAGGACCTAAGCTCTTCTCATTTTTACAGATAGAAACAGCCTTGGGGACAGCCTACGGAATCACCTTCAGAGGTAGACAGAAATATGGCGGAGGACAGGTACTGTCTGTCTTCTGTCAGCCAGCACTTCTCCCTTCTATTCAGAATAGCAGGTCTTGGCCCTCCCATAGTCTCCCCACCTCCAAAAATCCCTTTTACAGCACTTTACCATAAGTGATGCTACAGAAACAAGGTTTAATGCTGCTGGAGTGGGATAGGCAAAGGGGGGAGTAAAGACTATCCTGCTTGTCTTCTGGTGTAGTGAGGTCAGGTGTTGACAGGGTTGTCTGTGTAGCCTACGATGGCATCACAGGCATGTGTTGTGAGGCCTGGGTAGACTGACCTTCGTTGTGCAGTGTGGTCTCTATTCTGATGTCAGAGATTAGGATTAGAATGTAGCTATTCATATGATCTTTGGGAGACAGCTTTGGAAGGGAGTCTTCTAAGACCTTTCAAGTGGAAGTCTGTGAGCATGAACTGTAGCTCATATTGAGGGCCAGGATGGCTACAGCATCAGCTATACCCTGACGAAAGTCAACACAAGGAGACCAGATTACAGATAACTTTGTGGACATTTGAAAATACCTTTTTTTATTTTAGATATTAAAATTCATGCTGATATCTTTTAGTTAATGCTTGATGTAATTGTTTTTTCCTTTTATCTCCAAAGAATACTTTGTTTTCAACCTTGTCTGCAAGGTTGAGGGAATCATCCTCTGTTCTTGTAGTTTCAGATACACTTGAATGTTTGTGCTATATGATGCTAGTGATCATTCTGTGTTTAAGATGTAATCTTCCTTCTCTTGTGCTCAGAATATTTTTATTCCCCTTTTACTTTTGAAACTAGCTGTGCATGGTGGTGCACGTCTTTAATCCTAGCATTTTGAAGGCAGGTGGATGTTTTGAGACTAGCTGTCTACCCAGCAAGTTCCAGGCCAGTCTGAGCTACATAGTAAGACCTGTCTTGAAAAAAAACCCAAACAAACAAAAAACAAAACAAAACCTTTTGAATGAATATGTATCGCCATTTGACTCATTTCATAGTGCGCCTTAGGCTGGTTCCCATTGCTGTTCCTGTCCAAGGGTCCAACGGACCAGATGGTATTTATATCAGTTTCTGTCCCCCTTTTTATATTTTTCTAAGTTTGGAATCCAAATAAAAGCATAAAGTGTCTTTATTCAGTATAATATTTGTGCATGAAAAATGAGATTATATATGTGATTATAATATAATAATTCGTGATACAGTTCAGGAGATATACATACATATATATATATGGAGCTTAAGAGACTTATAAGTTGAGCAGCTCACCAACTTTAGGGCAACAAGCATGTGTCTTCATCCCCACAACCTTAGTATTTTTTGCCAAAAGGAGATCTGAGCAAAGGAGAGTGCCGAGAGCGCAAGATCCGCGTGTAAGGGCCACTGTCCGTTGAGCTTTGGCAGGTGGGTGTTCGGGGAAGTAAGTTGCGAAGGAATGGCTTCTTTCCTGGGGGTTGATGATTTGGTTGCTGGTTTTCCTGGTTTGTTCCCAACCGCTTTTTAGCAGAAGCCTGGCCTTGGAGCTTCAGCACAGTGTGATACTGCTCAGCAATGCAGGCTGTCTTTTTCTGAAGGTCCAGTTTCACTAGCATCATGTTATTCTGTAGCTCAGCCAGGGTCTGGTTCTAAGAAACATAAAAGTTAGAGATTGAACCTTTAACCCCAGCATTTCTACATTCTAGGCCAGCCAGAGCTACACAGTGAGACCCCATCATCTTCTAAAAACATTTCAGTCTGCCCTAGGTATCAGTCTAAGAAGTGAACATTTCTGTTTAGCCTTTTAAGAGCTCTGGCATCAGTATACACCAACGAGAAATGTCATAGCTTAGTGGTAAAGTGCCTGCATAGCATGCATGAGGCCCTGGGTCCCACCCCCACCATGACAACTTTTCACTAGTACACCTTTCTCTTCTGTTCTCAGTTCAAGGCCTTCTCACATAGACAATGGAAGGGGCTGGAAAGGGGAGGAGTATCTAGGCTGCCCTCACCTGTTTGATTAAGATGTCATCACAATTGGTCAAGGCTTGGCGAAGCTTTCCTGCCCCAGTGCTGTGACAGCAGGCCCTTTCTGCTGACTGGAGAGACTGTCCTATTTTCTGAAGCTCTATCCTTAGCATCCTTATATTCTGAAAGAGCAGGAATCAAGAGTGTGCCAAAACCAATCACAGCAGCCATTTGACGACAGACTCAAGGCTGGGGGCTGGTGAGATGGCTTAGCTGGTGAGGGCACTTGTCCCCCACCATTCTGACAATTCTTGACATTCTGAGTTAAATGTTAAATCCCAGGAAGCCACATGAAACCCATGTGGCTTCCATATCACCACACACAAATAAATAAATGTAAAGTAAGAACAAAAGCTGGCTTTCTGAATGAAATAGCCATTCTCAGAGGACACACATACAAACCCAAATACAAAACAAAAAAGCCAAAAAAAAAAAAAAACCAAAAAACCAAAACCCTCTCACATAAATTCCCTTTGATAACAGAAAGGTTACATACCTTCTGGCCCTCCTCTAACTTCTTATCCACATCAATGGTGAAGGGCTTGGCTATGGCTGGTGGTTCCAACATTTGCTGGTACTTTTGCGGTTCTGAGAGGTTAACACAGAATATAAACACATTTAATACATGGCTTTTCAGCTTTGGGCTTACCTCTTTAACAGCAGCAAGCAGATGGAGTGAGATGTGGGTAGATGTAGCTTGGAGCTGGAGCCAGAGGGACTGAGTGAATGCCAGCTCTTCCCCCACCCAAGCCCACTGTTGAGCCTCCACCTTCTTTCCTCACCTTCAGTGGTAGAGATTAGCTCTGCTTTGCATTTTTCTAGTTTAGCTTTAGCTTCCTGGAGCTGCTGAGTGGAGGCAGAAGCTGCCAGCCTTTGTGACCGCCGTAAGGACAGTTCAGACCCTGACATTTGAGCCACTGGTTGCTGTTTGGCTTCCTGCAACAGAGTTTCTAGCTCTTCAATTTTTTCATCCCGCTCCTAAGAGGGAAGCAGAGAGCAAAATTCTGTCCAGGGTCAGAGAAATAACCAAAGGACCAGATTAAATGAACTTTTTTTTTTTTTTTAATTTCTTTTTTGAGTTTCTCTGTGTAGCAGTTCTGTCCTGGAACTTACTTGGTAGACCAGGCTGGCCTAGAACGCACTGAGATCTGCCTGCCTATACTGGGATTAAAGGCCTATGGCACTACTGCCCGAATAAATGACATAAATCTTGACGCTAAACCCTGAGTTTAAATTCAGTTAACTACGAGGCACTAAGAGAAATGAAGAAAAATGAGTTATATGCCTGTTCTTACTAGAGTTTATAAAACTTAGGTAGGTACATGCACCTTTAATCCCAGCACTCAGGAAGCAGAGGCAGATGGGTTTGAGGTCAGCCTAGTCTACAGAGAGTTCCAGGAAAGCCAGGACTGTTACACAGAGAAATCCCGTCCAAAAAAAAAAAAAAATCAATCAATCAACCAATCAATAATTAAATATAAGTAAAATTTTGTTCATCTCAGACAACCAAGTGACATAAGTCTGCATGGCAGTCGGGACTGGATGGGGCAAACTCACCTGAATCTCTTCTTGGTAGAAACTTGTCAATGATTCCTTGAGGATCTTCAGCTTCTCTTCATACATTTCCTCCAGTAGTTCCTTTTGGTTGTCCAAATGCTCACTGACAGAAGAGGGTAGTGAGGATTCTGAGTGAAACTGAGGGACAACCCTGTGCCCCAGTCTTCTGTCCCCTCTCACAGGTGACTCACTAGAAGGGGCCACTCAGCAGTACCTGCACCATTGCTCCCGCTGCTGCATCTGTTCTACCATCTCGTTGCAAATTTCCTCGCGGAGCTGCATCTCTAACTGCAGCTTTTCTTGTCGTTCTTTTAAAAGCAGTGTTTTCATGGCTTCCACCACCTGCAGTAGCTCCTAGGAAGAACGTACCTGTCAGAGATCTTAAGATCCTTCTGCAGTAAAAGGCCTGAACCAATCTGGAGCACCCTATGGAAAATGTGCAGCCATCAAACTGCTATCCTAGAGACTTCTTGTATTCTCACCTCCTTGCCATACATAGAGATGTCAGCTTCATTTTCAGGATGGTCATCAAGGTCTGAGTCAGTCTTGACCCCTTTCTGTAAGCCAGGGGATACCTGAAGACTATGCTCCTTGATGAATGAATGCAGGGATGGGATTCCCAAATTCATAGGTGGGGCATGCACAAGCTAGAGAAGGAAAAGAAAAACTTAATTGGTTCGTTTACTAGTTTCTAAGAATTATCTTAAGGTTGCCAGTCCAGATTAAGTACAATCATCATGCCTATAGCTTCATACCTGGCTGGCAAGGGCTGAGAACTTGGCTACGTGAAGAGTCTCATCATAATTAGATGCACAGGGATTCACATTGACAATCATACATGAACGGCCTCGACCTGTGAAGAAGCCTTGAAACACACGAGTCAACTTGCTGTCGCGGAAAGGAATCAGGTTCTGCTTTGACCTTGCACAGAATCAGAAAAAATAGCACTATGAACATACTGGCACTTCCAAACACCATCCTTAGTGGTGAAGTAGAACTGACCCAATCACCAAGCCCCAGGCCATCCTAGCCCACAGCTTACCGGTTCTGCTGATTTTGCCGCAGGGCAGCAATACAGCGGCCCAGCGTATGCAGAGAAGTGTTAATGTTTCCTGCCTCCTTTAGCCGCTCGCCACTCTTTTGATCTTTGCAGCGCTCTGAGCCAGCCAAATCACAGAGTGACAGTCTGGATGGAATAAAGTGTAGGACCTGATGTAAGGAACTCATAGCTTATATAATTCTGGGAACAGCTAGTTCCTTTGAGAATTATTACCCTTTGCCCCTATAACTAGGTGACCAAGATGATCAAATTACTAAGTGGAAAAACTTACTCACTGATCTTGGGCACTATATCCCCTTCTCCCTGAAGATGCAAGATTCTGATTGAGAAGATGCTGTGACTGAAAAGGAGAAGAGAAAAATCACTATCATGTTACCCATGATCAGGTTGAGGGCTAAAGCTTCCTAGACACTGAGAAGAGTTAATTCTCACAACTCACCTGCGACTAGAGTTGTGGTTCAGGTGGGTGCTGGCAAAACTCTGGTTCTTACGACCCACTTTCAGGAGTTTCCAGGCTTCCTCAACATCGCGAACATGGATCCAGTTGAGGTCTGGGGCCAAGAGGTGGGAACACTTAGCCCCTTTTTTTCCCTACATGCCTCCAGGTTTTCTACCAACCTCCTCTACCTTTGTATACCTTTCACATAAGGATTGCCATTCTGATCCTCACACAGCCGCAGTGTCTGTCTCTTATGCTGATGGTTAGGTGGTTCTAACAGGTCATAAAGCAATTCATTGTAGATCTCAAAGAAGGAGATCCAAACAGAGAAGCGGATGTCTGCTGGGACACTTACTGGGGCAGTGTCTGGCTGTGCCCATGAATGACTTGTTACTGTGAGAAAAATCAATGTGTAGGTCATTAACCACGGAGCAGTTCATCTTGCCTTGGTCTATAGGAACTTCAAAAGGTGGATTTCAGGTTTTAATCTCTGACCTACAGCCCTTAGAGCTATTGGGGTAGGGAGTGGGTCCCCACCATTGCCCAGCACAGCCCACGTATACGTACCGTCCAGCTGGCTACTGCTGCTGAGCTGACTGGTCGAAGAGAGCCCGGCAATGCCACTGTCAGAGCTGGTGCTGGTACCTATCCGACTGTCAATGTGGACACGTTTCTTCAAGGAGGTGGACAGCTCCTCCTGAAGGAGCAAAGAGAAGATAAGCACAAATCTTTCCTCAAATCTGTACCCTTTATCCCAGCTTTATTACTACTTTACCTCTTGGAGGCCTCCAGTTAGTAAGGATTGCTTCTTTATTTCCTCCTGGCGAATCTGTTTGCTGTCTAGCCAGATTACTTCACTGGAAAGCAAGGGCTTCAGATCAGGTGTCGGATGAAGTTGGCCTTGGAGACTATTAAAGATGAGAGCCAGGGACCGGGGCAAGATCCCCCCATCCTTAGTAGTACCTGGAAGAATATCAGAGATAATATCTTTTATTCAGGCAATCAAAAGGTAAAGACAACCATTAGATGCTGGTTAACAACCCTGCTCAAGCTTACTACTTACCTTGAACTGTGTACGTCTTCCCCGAGTTGGTGACTCCATATGTGTATATGAGCCAGTTCTGCCCTTTGAGTACATCCTTTACCATCTCCTTCACAGTCAGGTTGAAGAAGGGCGCCTGGCCCACTTCTGGCCCAAATATCTAGAAACAGACCTGTTATCAGAGGCCTGCCATACTTCACCTGCCACCTGTTTCCTGCGCAGGACTAGTAGGTGTATTCCTTCCCTGGGGTCCTGCTGAACTCCAGCTGTTCCTAAATGTCGAAGACTCAGTCACTCTCTGCTAGTCCCTTCCAAATTAAATACCTAATGCTATTGTGACACTGCGTACAAGGGGATAAATATCATTGGTTGTAAGCATGGGTTTGGAGATGGCTGGCTGGATCTGGATCCCAGCGCTGTCTTCCCATTTACTAGCTCTATGGCATCAGCAAAATACCTTCACTGTACTATGAGCCACAGTATGCTTCTCAGGGAAGAGGTGATAACATCAGCAGGAATGAATGTACATAAAGTACCTAGCACACTGATTAGCACATAGCAAGGGCCCCAAAATTAATAGATACATATATAGAGAACTATCACTCAGGTAGAAATCTTTTAAAGAACAAATAAAACTTCCCGAGTGTTGGGTCTAGTTCATACACCAGTATTGCATACCTGGGAAAAGGTGAATTTGTGGGTGGCCTGACCAATTCCCCTCTCAGTGCTCTTCAAGGCAAAGGAGTCTTTGGGTGCTTGTAGCATAAGAGTTTCTGTATTCTCAATATGGACACAGCCCTGAGAAGGTAGAAAGCAGAGGTTAGCACAGTAAAAAAAAATTCCTAGTGAGCCTCTTTTGTACTATACCATTTCACCTTACATCCTCACCTGATCTTCCTGTCGGTCCAACTCAGAAGTTAAAAAGGGTCTGATTCGAAGGTAAACTTTCACCCTCTCTGCAGTATCCTCAAACGGAGTCTGTAACAGATTCCAGCCAGGACACAGAGTTAACTTCTAAGCAAATGGGCAAACAACCCAGTTCCTAGCAAGCATGCTACCAATTCCACATTCCACCTTAAGTAGCCCTGTGCAACTATTCTTTGGTTCCACAATAATTCTAGTGCGCATGAACTTTGTTACCCTTCCCTGTCTCATTACTGTCCTGCAAATCTGGCTTGCTATACCAATGATCTGTGTTAGAATCGGTTGATATTTGAAAACCAGCACACACCATGCATCCTGCTTATAATCCCAACATCCAGTAGGAAGAAATGGGGGAATCAGAAATTTAAAGCCAGTCTTGATTACAAAGACTATTTCAGAATAAACAACTTTTGTTTATTTAACTTAGGTTCTCTGGCAAGAAGGGCTCTTAACCCAATCTTAATGAAAATTGGGTTAGTAAGATGGCTCAGCTTGCTAAACAAGCCTGCCAACTTGAGTTCAATCATAGAAATCCAAAGTTGTCCTCTGACTTCTACATGTACGTATCCCCCATCACATATCCATCCATACAAAACATACATCCAACAATAACAAGAGTAGGCATGCCTGAATCCCCATTTCATCATAGTAATTAGGAGACCATGAACAAAGTTTTGAAGGACGAAACTAAATAGCAATTGCTTCATTTACTCAGCAGATATTTAGAGAATGTCTCTCTACTCCCAAGGACACTGAGTTCTAGTTAGTGAAGAGATACTGCATCTAGTGGCTAGAGGCCAGAAATGCCACTAAACATCTTGCCAAGCACAGGGCAGCCTCTCTCCAATAAAATTTGGCTCCAAACATGAATAGAGCTATTACTGAGAAATTTTTGGCCTACAAAAGAAAGGCTAAAGCTTTGGCAGCTATAATTACTAAAACATGAATTCCATTCTACCTAGTTAAGGCCACCACGGTTCTGGGCAAACAATTGTATGCAGTGCTGAGATTTGAACCTAGGACATACCAAACATGCATTCTCACATCCTTGTACCTATGATTTAACAATGGGGTATCTCGTGACTATAATGTCAATAATATTCTTATGGATATAAACTTTATTTTCCACTTGTTTGCCCTCTTTTGTGTTTTGATTTTTTGAGACAGGGTTTCTCTGTGTAGTCCTGGCTGTCCTGGCACCAACTTATTATGTAGATCATGCTGCCCTCAGAGATCCACCTACCTCTGGGATTAAAGGCGTGGGCCAGAAGGCCCAGCTTTGCCCTTAATTTTTAATTGATCTTTCACTTCTTCGGGATTAGTGGTCTTTGATCTCATACTACCTTGAATAAAGAATTGTTAAGCTGAGGCTATCATTTTCTGCCCCTAAGCCACTCAACTCCTTTACCTGTTTGTCCTCCAGAGAGGTGGAGATGACAGAGCAGTCTGACAACAGGTCCTTTCGAACCACAGACATCAGATCTGCAGCTGTGGATTCAAACATGGGGGAGACAACAACATCCTCATCGGACAGTAAGCCCGCTGGCGGAGAAAGGATCCCGTGAGACATAGCAAGAGAGTCAGCCAACGTCTAAAATAAAAACCACAAACAAACAAGAAACAAGAGTAAATGGGTCGAAGAGCATTAATGCAGAAAAACTGCAAACCTGTAGGTTAACAATTCCCTGGTGAGTGGAATAACCTTGCCCAGGACATTCTGTCGCGACTACATACCATTATCAGACAAGAGGAAGAGAATGAGAAAAATAATTCAGCTAGAGGCTGCATTTCTGAGGGCGACTTGGCACCAAGAGATATCTAGCGTTCCCCAGAGTCTGTCTACAGGCCTACCAGTGCAGGTGTGCTTCAGGATCCCTAGGGTACTCTTCCAACCTCACTCCAAAGATCACGGTGAGAACTCGGGAATTAGAAAAGACACGAAGGAGTTCTGTGGACTATGCCACGCAGGCAAGAGATGATAAACCGGGCTCCAGCCTAAGCGCACTTACCCGAAGACGGTCTACCTCGCTGCTTCTCGGATCCCAGCTTCCACCCAGCAGCAGAACCAAGGCTCTAGCTAGCGGAGAGCACAACTCCGCCCACGAGGCGCAGCTTTGTTCCTCTTACAATGTTTTAAATTGCGCGCTGAGCTCGTCGGGCCAATCAGAAAGCGAAGGGGGGCGGAGACAACCGGGAGACTGCTTCTGCTTCTGCTTGACCTCTAGTAATGTGGGTCCGGGTTAACAACTGTCGGGAGTTTCGTAGCTGTTCGTTACGGGATTCGTCTCGCTTCGCTCTTTACTTATCTCTAGATCTAGACGTTTCTTTTTTGAGGTTTTAGCTGCTATACCTTTTCCTTTGTTAGTAAAAAAAAAGTCTTTTCTAGGCTGATTTTATTAGGGCAAACTGACCCACCCACATTACCCAGGAGGCACCGCGAAAGACGCTGGTATCGTATTTCCCAGAGTTCCCTGCATCTTTCGCAAGCGTTGAAGACGTCGAAACCAAGATGGCGACCGGAACAGGCAGTGAGTATTGGAGCCGCTTTTGCGTTCAAGGCCTTTGTGGAGTCGAGGCTAGGCATCCCATTTTCGTCGCGCACGAAGGGAGTGGGAGGAGTGGGTTGTCAGGGAGCGCAAGGTCTTCAGAGATTTGCCTTCCGTGGCGCGCTCAGGGCCGCCGCCTGGCGTAGGGATGAACCCGAGGCTGCAGAGGAGCAGCGGGGAAGCCTTTGTGTGCTTGTAGCGCTCGAGGGTAAACATAAAGGCAGGGCCGAGCGCCGTGCGGCTCAGTTGTTTCTCTAATCAGGTGTGGGAAGCTGTCGCAAAGAGATCTGTTAATTGTGGGCGTGTTCTGCCATGGGGAAAACGCGTTTCGTGTATTTCAGCCATTTTTTTGTTTTGTTTTACCGACAGTTGGGGGGAGGGGCTGAGATGTAAACAATTTTATGCAAAGTAGGAGGTGGGCAGTATGAGCCGGTGGCCGCTAGGAATCTTGGGAAATAAGGTTGAGTTCAAACTGGGAACTTTTTTTTTTAACGTAATACTGCCAATTTTTTTTTTTTTTTTGAGAGCAGGCCTTAAAGCCATGGCATTTGAACAAATACAGTGTTTTGAACAGATGGCGTTTGAACGACTTAATGCGTATTCATTGTCCAGGTATCCTGGCTAGTAGTGATATTTCGTTGGATTGGTGATAATAGATGATTGATGATAATATTTCACATTTTTCGAAAAAGATTGAGATTTATTTGTTTTGAGACTGACCCTGGCTGGCTTGAAAGTCCCTATGCAGGCCAGGCAAGCCCCACTCACAGAAGTCTGCTTGCTTCTGCTTCCTGAGAACCAGGATTAATACTCCACACTCATCTGGGGGTATTATTTTATATCGGCTTTTAGCTGTTCTGAGACTTAGAAGTAGCTCAGCGATCATTTCTAAGCCTCCTTTATTCCCAGAGCACAAGCTGCTGAGTACTGGCCCAACAGAGCCATGGTCCATCCGAGAGAAGTTGTGTTTAGCATCTTCTGTTATGAGGAGTGGAGATCAGAACTGGTAAGGAATCTAAAATATCTGATTTCTTGGGCTGTACGACTGAGTGTTTTTCTTTCATGTTTTGTTTTCTGTGTATCCCTGGCTATCTCAGAGCTCACACTGTAGACCAGGCTGGCCTGCCTCTGCCTCCCCGGTGCAGGAATTTGCCATATGTCATCAACTTAACCAGGAATGAGTATTTTTCACCTCAGGGTATTTATTCCTTTAAGTTAGTCACTTTAAAGCTTTATGTAGTAGTCAGCTTCAACAAATTACAGATCATTTACACATTAAATAAACTCACCGAAAGTGAGAACTTTTTTGGTTTTTCCTGTTTTCACAAAGTTGTGCAGCCATCCCTGTAAATCTCTTTACATTTCCCTCTGCTCCCCTTTCCAGAGCAATATGATTTCTTTCCCTACAGATTTGCCTATTTTGAACATTTCCTGTAGGTATGCTATGTAGTCTTGTGGGATTAGCTTTTTTGTCAGTTAACATAACACTTTCAAGGTTTATGCACATGTAACATACATTAATACTTCTAGAATTGGTCAGATAATAGTATGAATCATCCCTTCCGTGTCTGTGGAGAATTGGTTCCAGGGAGGTTATAAAAATGATGGTGACTCAATTCTTTACATAAGATGCCTTGTATTTGCATGTCACCAACACACACCCTCTTGAGTACTTCACGTTATCTCTAATACAGTGACATTACATGCTAATGGTTTAGGGCAGTTTCTCAACCTTTGGGTCATGACCCCTTGGCAAACCTGTTTCCAAGAATATTTACATTATGATTCATAACAGCAGCAAAATTATAGTTATGAAGTAACAACGAAAATAATTTTAGGGTTGGGGAGTCACTACAACCTGAGGAACTGTATTAAAGGGTCACAGCATTAGGAAGGTTGAGAGCCACTGGTTATGGGAAAAAAGTCTGTCCATGTTCACTACGTGCTTGACAGGGCTTCTCTGTGCAGCCCTGGCTGTTCTGGAACTCGCTCTACTCTCTCTGTGAGCCAGGTTGGCCTTGAATTCACAGAGAATCACCTTCCTTGCCTCCCAAGTGCTGGGATTAAAGGCGTGCACCACCACTGTCCAGCTTGTTTGTTTTTAGAAGTGACTATAATGTTTAACCTAGGCTGAGTAAATCCAAAAATGCACATCCCCTGCCTCTGTTCATTACCTGACTGCATGTTCACGTCACCTGCATGTTCATTCGTGCTTTCACCTTAGGGCAAATGTGAATGACTCTTTGTGGACAGTGTCTTCAGTTCTTCTGGAGTCACCCAGGCCATCGAGTCTCTGGGCCACCTGGTAACTCCAGGTCTAACAGTTTATGAGGAACTGCCAAACCATTTTCTTTAATATATTATTTTAAAAATTATGTAGGTTTATGTGTGTGTTGGAGTGGGAATATGGGCACATGAGTGCAGGATCCCCTGGGAATCAAATGAGGACATCAGAGTCTCTGGAGTTAGAGTTCCAGACAGTTGTGAGACATCTGACATGGGTTCCTAAAACAGAATGTTGGCTCTGTGTAAGAGCAGTATGTGTTCTCCTCTGAACCATCTCTTCATCCCCCCCAAATTTTGGAGAGTAGAGGTACTGGGGATGGGACACGGGACTTTTGTTGTGCATACTAGGTAAAGATTCTGCCATCTTACTATACCTTCAGCCTTCAAATTTATTTTGGTTTGGTTTTTGATTTTTCAAGACAAGATTTCTCTGTGTCGTTTTGGAGCCTGTTCTGGAACTCACTTTATATACCAGGCTGGCCACAAACTCACAGAGATCCACCTGCCTCTGCCTCCTGAGTGCTGGGATTAAAGGCGTGCACCACCACCACCTAGCCTGATTTTGATTTTGATTTTTTGATTTTTTTTTAAGATTTATTTATTTATTATGTATACAGTATTCTTAGTATTCTGCTGTATGCCTGCAGGCCAGAAGAGGGCACCAGATCCCATTACAAATGGTTGTGAGCCACCATGTGGTTGCTGGGAATTGAACTCAGGACCTTTGGAAGAGCTAGCAGCGCTCTTAAGCACTGAGCCATCTCTCCAGCCCCCTGATTTTGATTTTTAAAGACAGAGTCTCACTCTATAATCAGCTGGCCTCAAACTCAGAGATTCTCCTGTCTCTGTCTTCTGAGTGCTAGGATTAAAGGGATGTGCTGCCACGTCCAGAAAAAAGTGTGGCCCAGGCTGTCTGCTGCTTCTTCAGCATATTCGACTGGCTTAACATTATTTTATTTTATTTTTTAAGCTAAGCTAGCTTCTAACTCCTCCCTATGTAGCCTGGAATGACTTTGAACTCCTGATCCTGCCTCAGCCCCCCTGAATATTACGATTGCACGCATGTACTATGAGGCCAGTTTTTTTTAATTGATTTATTTTTATTTTCTGTTCATTGGTGTTTTATTGTCAATCTTGGGTCCTTTGGAACTGGAGTTAGAGACATTTGTGAACTGCCATATGGGTGCTGGGAATTGAACCAGGGTCTTCTGGAATAGCAGTCAGTTCTCTTTACCCCTGAGCCATCTCTCCAGCCCCCGAGGCTCGGTTTTTGAAGTATAGATCAAACCAAGATTTCATGCAGGCTAGGCCAGCACTCTGCCAACTGAACTATATCCCCATTGCCTTCAGTATTTTTATCTGCTTCACAATATTTCCTGTCTTTTATTATAGCCATACTAGTTAATAGAATATAAAGTCATATCTCATTGCAGATCTTTTTTAATATTTATTTGTGTGTTTACATGTATCAGTGTGCATACAAGTATGGAGGTCAGAAGACAGCTTGCAGAATTTGTGAATTTGTTTCTCTTTCCACCTTATGGGTTCTGGGGATCAAACTAAAATCATCAGGTTTGATGATACATGTCTGTCAGCTTAGCACTTTTGGTTTTTCGAGACAGGGTTTCTCTAACAGTCCTGACTATCCTGGAACTGGCTCTGTAGACCAGGCCTGCCTCTGCCTTCCGAGTGCTGGGATCAAAGGCATCAAAGGCATGGACCACCACCACCTGACTATACTTTTTTTTTTCACCCAGCTGCACTTTTTTTTTTTAAGAAACAACCTGCTTGAAACATATATGTATGCTGGAAGAAATTCCCAGAACTGGAGAAACAAATGGTTACACCACATAGATGACAGGAATTTTACTAAGCTGCTCTGGAAGAGCAGCCAATGGTCTGAACCATCTCTCCAACTGGTTTTACACTTTGATTGGTATTGTTACAACACAAAAATTTTTTAAAAATATTTTCAGGATAGGGCCACTTTATATAAGCCTGGCTGTCAGGAACTCACTATATTGACTGTGCTGGCCTTGTACTCACAGAAATCTGCTTGCCTCTGCCTCCCTAGTGATGGGATTAAAGGCATGAACCACCGGCCCAGCCAAAAGTTTTTAATTCTAATGATACCAGTTTAGTTTCTTCTGTTGCTTTGCTTGAGAATTGACTAGGAAGATACTTATTTTGCTTTTTTTGTTTGTTGGATTTTACTATTAAACTTTTTTATTACCATTATTTTGTGTATATCAGTGTTTTTCCTGCATATATGCATGTGTACCGTGTGCTTTCCTGGTGCTTTTGGAAGCCAGAAGAGGTCTTACTGAAATGTCTTTAGTGGCTTTAAAGATTTGTTTTTGTTGGTAGCCTCCAAATCTCTGTAGCCCCACATCATCTGATCTTGTCCTCAAGATTTTTCTCTCTGCCGATTGTTGGGGTTATCAGTATACACTAACACTCTCAGATAATATTTCCGTTTTGTTTGGGGTTTTTTTTGTTGTTTGTTTTTTGAGGCAAATATTTCTGTATAATAATCCTGACTGTCGTGGAAGTTTAAACCAGGTTGGCTCAAATTCACAGAGACCCAACCGCCTGCCTCTGCTTCCCGAGTGCTGGGATTAAAGGTGTGCACCGCCACCTCCTGGCTCAGCTAGATAATGTTTTAATTACAGAAAGTTGTACATAAATAGATTGGCTCCTGTTTCTTAATTCGGTGGCAACGATCTTGCCTTTGTCTGTGATATTATTAGTGTTTAGTTTTTCCTAAGTCAGGAAGATAGTGAAGAGATTTAATGTATTTACAGAGCCTAATTGATAGAAAATGCTCTTTGGGGATTTGTTTGGGTTTCACTGTGTAGCCCTGGCTGCCTGGTCAGCCATGTACCCAGCTGCTTTGGGGAGAAGGGTCGGGTGGGGCAGTGAAGGGTCTTGTTATTTAGTTCTGGCTGGCCTGATACTCACTTTGTAGCTCAGACCAGCCTCAAACTTATGATAGCCTTCCTACTTGTTAGAATTATAAGTATATATTGTACACCGTGAAAAATACTTCATAAAATTTAAACGACTGGTGCATGCTTTTAGTCCCAGCACTCAGAATTCTGAGGCAAGTGCGTCTGTGAGATCAAGGCCAGTCAGGTCTATATAATGAGTCCAGGACAGCCAGGGATGTTTGACTAACTCTGTCTCCAAAAAAACAAAAACAAAACAAACAAAAAGTCGTAGGCTTTTAAGAGCAGTTTCTTAGAAACAGTTAAGTGTTAATAAAGGTTTTAAATACAGTTTCATAATGAAGGGTTAAGAGAGAGAGTGTGCCTCAGAAGGAAAGGAAGGTGAGAGCAGGGGTGTAGGTTTCTCAAAAAGCAGTCATAAAAGTAAGACATACCAAACATGGGTACTGGTTTCTCAAGGGAGAATGGCCAAAGAAATAATTTTAAGAATCTAGTTGGACTGGAGAATTAGTTGGCTCAGAAGTTAAAAGCACTGGCTACTACTCTTCCAAGAGGTCCTGAGTTTAATTCTCAGCACCCACATGCTGGCTCACAGCCATCTAGAGTGGGATTTGATGCCCTCTTCTGGCCTAAAGTTGATAGAGCACTCATACATAAATAAATCTTTAAAAAAAAAAAAAGAAAAGAAAAGAATTAATCCAGGCTGGGGATGTAGTTTGGGTATTTGTCTACATATGTGAGACTCTGGATACATTTGAAGAATCTTTTTCTAGCATGTAAAGATTTGGTTTATTGCATTTTAATTCATTATGCATGTATGTGTATGTATGTGTGTGAATGCCACTGTATGTGATGTGGAGATCAGAGAACAAATTATAGGCGTTGATATTTCTTCTTGAACCCCATAGATATGATTGAGTTCATATCAGGCTCAGCAGAAAGTACCTTTACCTACTGGGCTATTTCACCAGGCCTTGAATTGCTTTATATATAGTTGTGTCATTTTCTGTTGTCAGGTATTCCAGAACTGAAGCTCTAACTAGTGGCGCTCTCACCTAATGTGTGTGAGTGAACCTCTGTTTTTATTCTCAGCACTGACAAGTAAATAGAGTAATGATAAAGAAAGGTATTCTAAAGTACTTCAGTGGCAGTTCTTTATTCCAGTGTATAAAACTCTAAGCTTTGTACTCAGCCCATCTCTGCCACCTGTATTTTTCCTGTTCGTATAATAAGGCTTTTCTCATTTGTTAGGGTATCAGTTAGCAGAGCAATCAAGCCTTTTGCTGAACCTGGCCGGCCTCCAGACTGGTTTTCTCAAAAAGTAAGTTCCCAATCAGATGCTCTTCTACACTCATTGGAATATGAAATTGGTTCTTTACCAGGCTCTGCCTTGTTGTTTACAAGGTTTTCTGTATTGTTAAGTAGGGGATAACTTACAGTGCTCGAGGCTGGGTGTTAGGAGATAGGCAGGAGGATATCAACGTGTGTGAGACTAGCCTGGTTTACATGGTGAATTTCAAGCCAGCCAGGGCTGCGTAGCAAAGCCCTGCCTCAAGAAAACCAAAAGAAATTATGACTGGGAAGGTGGCTCAGGGGTTAAAGTATTGGCTGTACAAGCCCAGAGATTGGAGTTGGGATCCTTAAACCCGCTTACATGCCAGGCATGCCAAGAAGGTGTGGCAGCCCACCGGTTACTACAGTGTTTGGAATGGAAAGGCAGTAAGTAATCCTTGGGGCAAGCTGGCTTTCTAGACTAGTTGAAACAAGGTCTAGTTTGGTCCCTACTTCAAAGAATGAGGTAAAGACTGGTTGAGAGAGACCCCCAGAGTTAATCTTGGGTATCCACATGAATGTACCTGCACCTACACATACATATGAGCTTGTGAACACAGACATTCCACACATTTAAAAAAAAAAGTAAAAGGTGGTATGGGAGAATTGTCTGTATTCTGTCAATCATATTTTAATAAAACGCTGATTGGCCAGGCAGGCAGTATAGGCGGGAAAGCCAGACAGGAAGCAGGGGTGGAGCAAAGAGACTGGGAATATTCTGGGAAGCAGAAAGCTCCTCCACAGTTCTGCCCAGACCACCAGAAAGGAAAGATGTAAGCTGCCCAGCTGAGAAAGGTACTGAGCCATTATGGCTAACATAGATAATGATAATGGATTAATATAAGTTATAAGAACTAATAAGTAGCCTGACCTAATGGGCCAATCAGTTTACAACCTTATGGAGTCCTATGTGTGATTTTCCTTGGGGTTTGCCGGTTGTGGGGTACTGGGTGGGGCAGAAACCCCAACAAGCTGGCCCCTCATGCTACAAAAAGGGATTAGAAAGAAGGTTCAGTGGTTAAGAGCACCTAACGTTGTTATAGAGGACTTGGGTTTGGTTCACAAGCATCTGGTAGCTTGTCAATACCTGTAACTCCCGGCTCTGGGCATCTGAGGGCTCATATGAACATACATACAGAGATACAAAAACGAAATAAACTTTAAGTAAAAATTTGTTAAGATTAAATATTTTAAATTTAATAAAAATAACTTAGCTGGATCTTGGTGGCACATGCCTTTAACCCCAGCACTTGAGAGGTGGGGAAGATCTCTGTGAGTTTGAGGCCAGCTTGGTCTACAGAGCGAGTTCCAGAACAGACAAGGATACACAAAGAAACCTTGTCTCAAAAAAACAAAACATATTTAAAATATTTAAAAATATTTTAAAAATTAAAAACAAAAAAAACACCATTTTCCTTTTCCCTACTATTTGCTATCTGGTTATGTGTGTATGCAAAAAAGTATTGCAAACTTTTTTTCTAATTTTTATTTGGTAGTAATAGTAGTAATGTGTGTCTTACTATGTATCCCTGTCAGTCCTAGAACTCACTGTGTAGACCAGGCTAACCTTGAACTCGGATCCCCTGCCTCTGCCTCCTACCATGACCAGCTAAACCACACAGTCTTGAATAGCTGTATTTACTTAGTCTTATTCTAATTGTTGAAACTTGAAAATCTTGTTTCTTTCCAAGCTTGTTTATCACATTTTCATTTTTTTTTCATAGCATTGTGCTTCTCAGTATTCAGAGCTCTTAGAGACTACTGAGACTCCAAAGTAAGTATAAACCCAGGTACACATCTGTTTAGTTGGGAAGTGATCACTATGGAAATCGATCTTAATTGGGTGAGAAAGGTATACCGGGTATTACTTAGGATTTAATGGTAGAAAAGGCTGAAAGATTACAAGTAGAAACAAACACATGTCTTCTTAACTTCAATTTGGATTTACTATTGTTTGATTTTCCACAGACGAAAACGTGGTGAGAAAGGAGAAGTGGTAGAAACTGTTGAAGATGTTATTGTTCGGAAACTGACTGCTGAGAGAGTTGAGGAACTGAAGAAAGTGATCAAGGAAACACAGGAGAGATACAGGTAGTTATCAAATGACTCAGGGGGTGTGGCTTGGAAAGAAATTAAGAACTGATGTTTGGTATGGTGGCGCATACATTTAATTCCAGCATTCCAGAGGCAGAAGCAAGTGGATCTCTGTAATGTTGAGACCAGCCTCCTCTACAAAGTGAGTCCAGGACAGCCAGAGCTTTTTCACAAAGAAACCCTGTTTGTAAAAACAAACAAATACAAAGAATAGTTGTTTTTTGGTTTTGTTTTGTTTTGTTTTGTTTTTGTTTTTTGACTGTATAGTCCTGGCAAGCCTAGAACTCATTATGTAGACCAGGCTCTGATTCCCATGAACTTGGATTAAAGGTGTGCACAGAACCATCCATGTAGAGTTTTTTGATTTTCTTTTTCTTTTTTAAGATTTTTTTTTTTTTTTTTTTTTTTTTTTTAGGGAGCTGGAGAGATGGCTCAGTGGTTAAGAGTATTGTCTGCTCTTCCAAAGGTCCTGAGTTCAATTCCCAGCAACCACTTGGTGGCTCACAACCATCTGTAATGAGGTCTGGTGCCCTCTTCTGGCCTGCAGACATACACACAGACAGAATATTGGATATATAATAAAAAATAAATATTTTTAAAAAAGATTTTTTTTTTTTAATGTGTTTTGGGTTTTGCCTGCATGTATGTCTGTGTGAGGACACTAGATTTCCTTGAACTGGATTACAGACAGTTGTGAACTGTCATGTGACTGCTGGGAATTGGACCCAGGTCATTTGGAAGAGCAGCCAGTGCTCTTAACTGCTAAGCTACCTCTCCAGCCCCCATAAAAATTTTTTAAATAGCAGATTGAGAAATTTAGTTAAAGATGAGCAGTGGTGGCACACGCCTTTAATCCCAGCACTCAGGAGGCAGAGGCAGGAGGATCTCTGAGTTTGAGGTCAGCCTGGTCTACAAATTGAGTTTCAGGACAGCCAGAGCTACACAGAGAAACCATGTCTTGAAAAAAAAAAAAAACTTAATCGAGTCTGGGAGTGTGGTGTATGTCTGCTCAACTCAGAAGGTTGAAATAGAAAGGTCACTTGAGACCACAAATTCAGGCCAACCTGGACAAGCTGTCTTAGAAAGCAAGACAAGAGTCATGGAGATTGCTCAACAGATAAAAGTATGGACTGTAGGGGCTGGAGAGATGGCTCAGTGGTTAAGAGCATTGCCTGCTCTTCCAAAGGTCCTGAGTTCAATTCCCAGCAACCACATGGTGACTCACAACCATCTCTAATGACGTCTGGTGCCCTCTTCTGGCCTGCAGACATACACACAGACAGAATATTGTATACATAATAAATAAATAAATAAATTTATTTATTTTTAATTTTTTTTGTTTTAAAAAAACAAAAGTGTGGACTGTACAAGCCTGACAGCCTGAGTGTGATATCTGCACTCATGTAAAAAGCTCTAGATGTGGTAGTTTATAGTGGCAGGAAGGAGAACCAGTCCCCAAAGTTTGTCCTTTGACCTCATATGGTGGAATGTGTCCACCTGTACTTGCACACACACTCACACACACTCTAATCAGTTTCTAAAAAACAGTATTGGTAGCTTATGCTTGTTATCCCAACACTCACTTGGGAGACCAAGACAGGAAAATTTTAAGTTTGAAGCCAGCCTGGTTTACAGAGGAAGACCCTGTCGTCGTTCCCCCCCGCCCCCCCCAAAAAAAAAAGGAAGAAAATTAAAAAATTTAAAAAAAAAACCATATAGAGAACTACAATCTGTTTCTTTCTGTTTTTATAGGCGGCTAAAAAGAGATGCTGAACTAATTCAAGCCGGACACATGGACAGCAGACTGGATGAGCTTTGCAATGACATTGCAATGTAGGTTCCATCTGTGCTCTGTGCCTGTTAGCAAAAACCTTCTTAATGAGGGCAATGTAAACTATGGGGAAGAATTGGAGTTGGCTAACATCACTCAGTTCTTTCTTCAGGAAGAAGAAATTGGAGGAGGAAGAGGCTGAAGTAAAAAGGAAGGCTACAGATGCTGCATACCAGGGTAAGCTGAGTCTGGTGCCTCTGCTAGCCCTTGATCATAAAGTACTGCATGCTAATGACAGTTGACTTAGTTTAAATTTACTTGCAAAATTTATCATGTCTCCCCTTCTCCTTCTTTTCCCCTGCTAAGCAGGGATTGAACTGAGGGCCTTGTATATGCTCCATAAAGTTAGATTGCCCGGTGGCATTCAATAAATAGGCTTTTATCAAGAGGAATTCTACACCTTTGTGTTTACCATAACTAGTTTTTGTTTTGTCCCATGAGTTCCCAGTTGTAGACTCTGGATCAAGCAAAATGTTTTAGACTCCTGACTGATCTGCCAAAATTGTAGGGCAGTTAAAACTTTTCCTCCTTTCTCTAAAGTTTTAGTATTTTTGAATCTCTGGAGCAAACTGGCAGTAAACAGGAGAAATATACAAATTTATTGTTTGCATGTGCAAAGAAGCCTCATCAGATAAGGCATGTGGGTAAAGGATGTAGCCCAGTAGCCTTGCATGTGTGAGGCGTGATCTTTAGCACCAACAAACAACTAAAAAGAAGAGAGATTCTTGTTATCTTTTTTTCTGCCAGAACAAGTCATCCATTAATATCCAAGAAGACATTAGAAAATGAGGTCTCTTTATATTCTCTAGATCTCTAGTTTACTTGTAGGACTCACAAGCTTAATAATGATATACTGAATATAATTTAAGGTTTTATGTTTTTACTTTTTAAATTTTTTATTTTTTTATTTTTATTGGCTCGGTGGTGAGGTACACAGGTGCGTGCCATAGTGTGTATGTATAAATCAGAGGACAAGTTTTGGAAATCCAGTCTCTTCTCCCATCAGGTGGGCCCCAGAGATTGAACCTTTACCCACTGAACCAACTCATTAGCCTTCATTAAAGTTTTAGAACTCAAAGACCAATTTAAAAAAAAAAAAAGCCAAACATGGAACTGGGTGTGGTGGTGTACATCTTTAATCCAGCCTTTGGGAGGCTGGGGGAGGCACATCTCTGTGAGCCAGTCTGCTTTTCAGAGTGGGTTCCAGGCCAGCTAGTGCTGCGATGTGAGACCTTGTCTACAAAAGAAAAAAAAAGTTGTAGTGGTGCATGCCTATAATTTCAGAATTTGGGAAGTAGATCCAGGAAGGAGGTGGGATCACAAATTCATCTCAGTGAGCCTTGGTGGTGAGGTGGAGAGAAAAACTTAGTGTTCACGACTGTAAGGTAGACTACATGGTGTGAACCAATGAGGTCCTTTCCTCTTTTTAAAAGCAGAGTCTTTGGGGTTTTTTTGTGGGGGGGGGTGTTCAAGACAGGGTTTCTCTGTAGCTTTGGAGCCTGTCCTGGAACTAGCTCTTGTAGACCAGGCTGGCCTTGAACTCACAGAGATCCACCTGCCTCTGCCTCCCAAGTGCTGGGATTAAAGGCGTGCACCGCCACAGCCCGCCCGGCTAAAAGCAGACTCTTAAGTCACAGGAGAAGACATTTAAAAGTATATAAAACATCTATTTACTACATACAATAAGAACCCTTGAAGTTGTTTAGTGAGATAATTGCCCTTAGTTTGAAAAATGAAGCTAAAAAAGTAATAAAACTTCTAATCTAGACTTATCATGCTTTTTTAGGGTATAATAGTGGCTGGTTTCACTTATTTAGCCCTGAAGATTTGGTCTCTATTCACTTATGTTCTAGCTCGGCAAGCAGTAAAAACACCTCCTCGAAGGCTACCAACTGTGATGGTCCGCTCACCTATAGATTCTGCCTCCCCACAAGGTGATTATCCACTTGGAGACTTGACTCCAAACACTATGGAGGAGGCTACCTCTGCGGTAAGTATATTTTCATTTATTGAAATTGTTTTGCAGAGGGAAATTAAGCCAGCAGAGAGCTGAATAATGGGAAACCACTTTTTGCCTAAAAACAACTTCTCTTGGTCTGAATGCTAGACACTATAAGGATGGACCTAAAAGCATTGAGGATTTTGACTTTTTGGTAGATAGGTAAAAAGACTATTTGAATTATTTGTAAATGTATTTAGTCTTACGAAATTTCTGTTGAAAGAAATTGTTTCTTTACAAGTAAAATAGTAATAGTTTTTTAAGGAATTTGAAAATAACAGTTTGGATATAATGGGTTGCGGGTTAGAGTGAGTGGAAGAGAAAATACTATGGGAAAGAAGTGTAGATAGTTTCTGGGTATTTCCATTCAGAACTAATAAAATAATAGACACACTAACACATCCAGATTAGTAGGGAACCTTCCATAGTTTGAGAAGTCAGATAAAGGTTCTCTGTTGTCTCTTAGGTAACCCCTGGGACTTTGCCGAGTACCCCAGTCACCTCGTTTCCTGGGATTCCTGACACCCTTCCTCCAGGCTCTGCACCCTTAGAAGCCCCCATGACCCCAGTAACAGATGATTCACCCCAGAAAAAGATGCTTGGACAGAAAGCAACTCCACCCCCCTCCCCTCTGCTGTCAGAGCTCTTGAAGAAGGGCAGCCTCCTGCCTACTAGCCCCAGACTGGTATGGAGACTTCTGTGGGTGTTTGAGAGCTGTGGTGATTTAGTACTTGGAAGGGAATGCCTGGGCCCTTAATTATGACCTGGGGTAAAACAAAAACAAAACAAAAAACAGGAGTGTCCTAGTTAAAAGTTAACTTTAAAAAAAAAAAGTGCGTTAAATTGGTCCTTGGATCCTAAGGTATCTGAATGATAATTATTTGTGATTTTCTTCCCCCAGAGAACTCTTGTCACTTAAGTTCTAAACATTATAGTTTAGAGTTTCCCTTTTATCTTAAAGTATTTTTGTGGATACTAAGTTTTAGTTTGAAGAAGTTTGAGCACTGGAGCGTTTTTTGGGAAGTGGTGGTGAAAGAACTTGAGTGTAGCCTTCACCTCTGTTCTTCCCTGGTAGGTCAATGAGAGTGAGATGTCTGTGGCTTCCGGCCATCTGAACAGCACAGGTGTTCTCCTGGAGGTAGGCGGGGTTCTTCCCATGATACATGGTGGGGAGATACAGCCAACAACCAGTGCCGTCGCAGCCTCCCCTGCTGCCTCAGGTAAGTTAATTGATCATGCTTCTCATGTTTATTATAAAGAAAATAGTCGTGTATTTAAGGCCAAATTCACTGTTTAGACTGCTTTGGAGCTAGCTTTTCTGTTAACATAGTGCTTGAGATTATTCACCCATTTCATATGTGAACTATTGATAGCTTTAATTATCACAGTATAGGTGATAAAAAGAACAATAAAGTTGATAGTGAAGCTATTTCTCTGTGCCTTGTGAAATATGAAAAGATGCCTGAGAGCCCTGAAATTATAAGTTAGGGGAAAGAGGTTTAGAACCAGAGATATGGGCTTCAATCTCATGTCTTTCGAACAATTGATTTTGTGGCCTTGGATAGATAACTATTGAGGCTTAGTTCCTTATTTTATTAATGTTGGCAATATATTAAATTAGTTTTTGCAAAACTGTGGAAAGATACTAAAGACCCTGGAGATTATAAAATGGGGGGGAAAGATTTGGAACTAGAGACCTGGTTTGAATCTCAGATCTATCATACTGTTGGTTTTGTGACATTTGACAGGCAGTTTAACTACTGGAGAGTTAGTTTCCTATTTTATTAGTGGTGGCATATATTTTTTACAGGGATATGTTAAGAATTAAATGAGAGAATGTGAAGCAAAAATAGTAATACCATATGAGCATTACATTAGAATGAACATTACATTAGAGATTGGGTAGGGTCTGGTGGTACACTCCTTTAATTCCAGCACTTGGGAGGCAGAGGCAGACGAATCTCTTATGAGTTCGAGGCCAGCCTGGTCTACAGAGTAAGTTCCAGGACAGCTGGGACTACATAGAAACCCTGTCTCAAAAACCCAAAATAACTCCCCCCCTCTGCCCCCGCAAAACAAAACACACTGGTATTGATTAAAGTGGAGCGTGGGTGGTGTACAGCGTGCTGAACTTCAGCAGAAGTTGCAAGGTTTTTCCTTGCTTTTCTTTTTCTTCCTTTTGTTTTGTTTTTGAGACTGGGTCTTGCTATAGAGTTCAGGCTGTCCAGGAGCTCTCTTTCTTCCTCAGCCTCTTGCCTGTCATACCAGTCATTTTAATTTTTTTATTTAGTGAGTGCGTATTTTTTCCTTAGAGAAAACGACTACCTGTTTTTGCTATAGATAGTGTATAATCTGGCACTTGAGTTCATTCCTAGCTTGGAGGAAGATCCTAGGTGAGGTTAAAGAAAGTCAGGATGTGGTTATGAGTTTATTCAACACAGGAGTTACTTTCATTCTTTGAAACTAAAAACAACAACAACAACAAAAAAAAACTATTGAGTCCTAGAGTGGCTATTGCTTCTTGTTCATGTGCTTTCTTTCCTCATTTTGTGTACCTCTTTGTCTGTTAGGTGCTCCCACTCTTTCCCGGCTTTTAGAAGCTGGTCCTACACAGTTCACCACTCCTCTTCCTTCCTTCACTACTGTTGCCAGTGAGCCTCCAGTTAAACTTGTGCCACCCCCTGTAGAGTCTGTGTCCCAGGCTACCATTGTCATGATGCCTGCGCTGCCAACACCATCCTCTGCTCCAGCTGGCTCCACTCCTGAAAGTGTAGCTCCAGGTTCGTCCCTGACCCACGCCCTGAGCAGCCACAGGACCAAACTTTAGTTAGAGAAAGGTGACCAAGAGCATTATCTCCCATATAGATACTTCTCTTCTGTTCTTCGTAGGCTCGGATCATCTGTATCCTTAGAAAAACAAGGATAGAAGTGGGTGGGTATTTTGTGAGTTGAGTGGGGAGGGTTAAGTGTGGAAACATAAGCAGGCTTGAGGATGTATTCTAACCTCACTCTGTAAATAAAATCAGGGCGAAGAAAACATGGGCAGAAGTGAGTTTTTAACCTTAAGTATGTCTGACCTTTAGTGTCTACAGCTCTGGTGTGATCTCCGGGTGGTCATTTAATAATGGATAAGCTTCTGAATTGCTGTTTTCTTCCTGTTAATCAGTGACTCAGCCTGACCCTTGTGTTCCTCTGGAAGCTGTGGGGGATCCGCATACTGTGACTGTTTCCATGGATAGCAGTGAAATCTCCATGATCATTAATTCTATCAAAGAAGAGTGTTTCCGGTCAGGGGTAGCAGAGGCTCCTGGTGGATCAAAGGCTCCAAGCATAGATGGAAAGGAAGATTTAGATCTGGCTGAGAAGATGGATATTGCTGTGTCTTACACAGGTGAAGAGTTGGACTTTGAAACAGTTGGAGACATTATTGCCATCATTGAAGACAAGGTAACTATTTAGCAAAATCCTAAAAAGTCTTCTTTGGGGTACTACATAGACTACCTTTACCTTTCTTTGATTTTCTTAGTAAGGATTATTTAATTGTACTTTTGTCCATTTTCATCTTTGTAATCTGATGTACTACCTACCTTCCCTGCTGTCCTGCTTACTTGTTTGCTCAGCACAAGTGTCTGTACACTGGTTGCTTCTTCTAAATGGTAAAGGTAGAAAAAGTAGCTTTAAATTCAGCATCTGATTCTCTACTGTTAGACTGGGAGGACTTGGGCTTTTTCTGTGCTCTCAATAGTTTGTATATTGTGGGACAGGTCGATGATCACCCTGAAGTGCTGGATGTGGCGGCTGTAGAAGCAGCACTGTCATTCTGTGAAGAAAATGATGATCCACAGTCCCTGCCTGGCCCTTGGGAGCACCCTATCCAGCAGGAGCGGGAAAAGCCAGCACCTCTTCCGGCGCCAGAAATGACAGTCAAACAAGAGAGGCTAGACTTTGAGGAAACAGAAAACAAAGGAATCCATGAACTGGTTGACATCAGGGAATCAGGTGTTGAGATTAAGATGGAACCTGCAGAGCCAGAGCCAGGCATGTCAGGGGCTGAAATAGTAGCTGGAGTTGGTCCAGTCTCAAGTATGGCACCACCAGAACTCAGGAGTCAAGACTTAGATGAAGAACCTAGAAGTTCTACAGCTGGAGAGATTGGTGAAGCAGATGGTTCCAGTGGGAAAGACGATGAGATGCCACTTTCAGCTGTGAAGACAGAGGTATTTATATGAATGGGCTGGGAAAAGAGGAGGAAGGTTGTGATTTAGGTAACTTAGGCTCTTGGATTCCTGAGTCTTGACATGTTGCACATAGCCAAAGCCATAGGCTGCAAGTAGTACATATCAAGGCGATCATCAAAATACTGGATAAGGAGGACTGAGGATTTTTTTCTGTGGTTTCATTGCCATTAGAGCATGAACTGTGGGACTTCTAACAGTTTATTAGTAATTAAGATACTTAATCTCTTTTGTTCTTCAGGCATCTCCTGAAAGCTTGTTGTCTCCATCACATGGCTCACATCCAATTGAAGATCCTTTAGAGGATCCGCACAAGTTTGAAATATCAGGTGAGTAAAGAAACTTTATGTCTAGCTTGAACTCTCTTCCTTTTGGCTTCTCAGGGTTTGTGGGTTGTGGGCAGGTAGAGGAGTAAGACAGGCCAGCATGGAAAGAAAGGAGAGCTGCAAGGAAGGATCGTGGTCCACAGGAAGGGGAAGGCTAAGGTAGTCTTTCTCTCCTCTGCAGACTCATTGAAAGAAGAATCAGGGACTATTTTTGGAAGCCAGATAAAGGTATTTCAGACTTTTTTTTTACTATTCTTGCCTTATGATTAGATTTTCCCACACTATGTTATTAAATGAATTTTAGTAAATTTTTATCTTTATCTCCTGGTAAACTTGGTAGGGAGTTGGATGAGGAGAAACTGTAGCAGACAGTCTGGCCTAGTGGGAGTGCTATGGCAGCATGTGCTTCCTGTGAGAGTTTCTGTTTATATAGTGCACAAAGAAGTTCTTCTACATCCAGAATGACTCAGTGAATAGAGGTGCCAGGAGAAACATTCGGGGAGTCAGGTTACAATTTAGATTACTAAAAGAGAATTACCTGGTTTTACCTTAGAATTACTAAAGTAGTGGTAACAAATTTAAAGTAATGTGAGGTGAGCTTACTCCATCAGCAAAGACATGAAATAAAATGATTATAAAATGATTTTTGATAACTTTGTACCCAGGGTCAGAGTTCCTCTCAAGAGCAAGGGGAAAGAAGGAACGCCTCTTAGCTTAGTCTTAAGTAAGTAGCTTTTTTTTTTTTTTTCTTCCTTTAAAAAAGGTCCTGGGCTGTATTCTTTGTCCAGGTTATAAATTACTTTGCCTTACTTAGTCAGTTAAGTAGAGGGTAGTATAAGTGATAGAGGGCTCAGCCAAAAAAAAAAAAAGTGTGAGGCCATTTCTAGAGCTGATCTAACCCAAAACCAGATCTCATTTAATAATGGTTTGGTAGGTAGCTTTGCATGCATTTGTTGACTAATGCACACTATATCTAAGGATGCTCCAGGTGATGAGGAGGAAGAAGATGGAGTCAGTGAAGTAGCTAGCCTAGAGGAACCTAAGGAAGAGGATCAAGGAGAAGGCTATTTGTCTGAGATGGATAATGAACCCCCTGTGAGCGAAAGTGATGATGGCTTTAGTATACATAATGCCACACTGCAGTCACACACACTGGCAGACTCTATCCCAAGCAGCCCTGCCTCTTCACAGTTGTGAGTATATGTGATTCCTCTTTTTATTTTTAGATGGGGTCTCCTGTACCCCAGGCTGGTGTGCAATTGTTTTTACATAGCTGAGGGTGATCTAGAACTCCTCCTCCTCCAGCTTCTTCTCCCAAATGCTGAAATTACAGACAGATTATAGGTGTGAGCAACTGTGCTTGCCCAGTGTGTGTGTGTGTGTGTGCGCGCACGCGCGGTGTTGGGGCATTGAATTTTTGAATGCTAGGCGGGCATTCTATCATAGAGCCATATCCCTAGCCTTAATTTTGCTTGTTATTTTCCCTTTCTCGGCATGAAACAAATAGTTGAAGAGAAATAGGACGTTGTTTTTCTCTCTGTGTCTATTTTAGCTCCGTGTGCAGTGAAGACCAAGAAGCAATTCAGGCTCAGAAAATATGGAAGAAAGCCATTATGCTTGTGTGGAGGGCTGCAGCAAATCATAGGTGAGCAGGATGTACCAGCTCCTCATTGTTGGCTCAGGAAGTTATTTGAGTAAGCTATAAGACTGCTTATGTTTTCCTTCTGGGGAATAAATCAGTAATAAGCCTATTCTTTTTGGACAGATATGCCAATGTGTTTCTGCAACCTGTCACAGATGACATAGCCCCTGGCTACCATAGCATTGTGCAGAGGTAAGCCATAGTCCGGCTAATGTGCCTGACTTAGAATTTGTGTAGACTTAAGTGAATTTTGCTTTAGGTAGTAAATTTAAAGCAAGGATGTTTTGTTTTGAGACGGGGTCTTACTATATATCACCCTGGTTGGCCTGGGACTCTCTATATACCAAGCTTAGCCTCAAAGTCCTACGTGCTGAGATTGGTAAAGACTAGTAATATTAGTGTTGAACTGACCATTGCAGTGACTGATTGCTATCGATAGTCTAAAACAATTAATTATCTTTCATTACTTTTCTTGATGCCTAGTATGCAGATTGACTTTTGGGGGGAATTGAATACATGTTTTTAGATCTTGTAGCTGAAACTGAAGGTTTATGTGAACAGGACTACATAGTGATACTGTATTCAGAAATCAAAGTGAAATCCTCCCTCCACAGCCAATTAACCCCGGGTTTTTTTTTTTTTAGACCTATGGATTTGTCAACCATTAAGAAAAACATTGAAAATGGACTGATCCGCAGCACAGCCGAGTTTCAGCGTGACATCATGCTGATGTTTCAGAATGCTGTTATGTATAATAGCTCAGACCATGATGTATATCACATGGCAGTAGAGATGCAGAGGGATGTCCTGGAACAGATCCAGGTACATTGAGGCTCATTTTTGTTTCAGTAGGGATGAAGTGAAGGGAAGAATCATAATGGTGACTTTTCTTGTAGTAGGCATCAGGAGCACAGGTAAGCCATTTTTCTCTTACTGGAGTTGTATAGGTTTTATCGGTTTGATGGAAGAATTATAATAGAAATTCTTTCTTTCTTGGGCAAATGAATTCAGTTTTTGTTGCTACTGCTGCTATTTTGCTCTTGTTGCTAGAGATTCAAACTAGTGCTTCACACGGCCTACACAAATACTGTACCACTGAGCTATATCACGTCCACACCACACCCAGTTTATTCATATTAGGAGTCATGCCCAGACAGGGCTTCATGTGTGCTAGACAAGCACTGCTCTATCTAAGCTATTTCCCTGGCCCCCTGTGAAGTTTTCAGATCAGTTTTTAAGGTAAGGCTAATGATATTTTTTAGTTACATAAAATATTCTGGCACAGAATGCATAATCCCTGTTTATCACAAGAAGTCTACTTCAGTCTTAACAGTTGTCTCACCACCTACCCTTTATGATGCTGACCTTGGAGGACTGTTGTGTCTTTTTTAAGTCTGCCAAGTGACTTTAATTGCTAAAAAGTCTTTGTTTTATTTTATTTCTTAAAAGCTACTTTTGGCTTCTAAATTCTGTAGGAACAATTAGAATTAAGCGTTTTAGTAAGAAAAGGAGTATTGACTAGAAGAGTGTATAAATGTAGTCACAAAAACTGAAGTATGTTGGTTCTTTCCTGCTGGATCGGGTCTTTGTGGTCAAACTTTTTTTTTCTTCTCTCTACAGCAATTCTTGGCCACACAGTTGATTATGCAAACATCTGAATCTGGAATCAGTGCTAAGAGTCTTCGAGGGAGAGATTCTACCCGAAAACAAGATGCTTCAGAGAAGGTATGGAGACAGAAATGGAGTCGAAAACATCCAGAGAACCTTAAGTTACTCTTATGTTGCTAACATTCTGCAAGCCAGTGGTGTGCAAATGGGTGTGAGGATGGTGGAGGCTTGCTTCTGTCTGTTGAAGAAATCTGCTGTGACGTGAGGGAAAGTTTGATTTGAGTGAGTGAATTATTAATCCTCTAGGAGAGTGCTATCAGGGTGGGGGATGCAGTAGCTCACAACAGTTGGTGACTTAGCTCCTCTTCTGGGGTCCTATGGCTGTGGGATCTCTTTCCTCTTGCTCTTGAGTTTTACATTTTTGTCTTTGTGCTGTGTGTATGGTGCTTTTGCCTCTGTCCTGAGGTTTGGGGTGCTTGTGGCTGAGAGTTTCTGTGGAACCTGATCAGTATTTGTTTGTCCTCTAACAGGACAGTGTCCCCATGGGCTCTCCTGCCTTCCTTCTCTCTCTCTTTGTAAGTATTGAATGGCTGCAAGGGGTGATGTTGCCAGAAAGATTCTCAGCTTCTGCTGGGCCTGGGTGGCAGAGGGAAATCCAACATGCAGACTGTGGCAATGTCTTGAAATTCTTTTTATCCATTGAATAAGAAATTCTTCTTCTGCATTCTAGTCTCTTTGCATGTGTTGTGTGTATGTGTGTGTGTGTCGGAGGCGGGGGCTGGGGAGCTGGGTGGCTGAGAAGAAACTGACTATAAGATCACTGTACTGAAGTATGAAGTGTTCTTAGGGTAAAGGACCTGGGATGCACCTGCTCCTCATTTTTCTTCCACTTTTTACCAGTTCTTTACTTATAAGTGGAATATAGCTCAGAGCAGCAGCTGCTACCTGGCGTTTTTGGCGTTTTCCTCGTGTTGCAGATATTTAACACATACCTTTCCAATTCCTCCTAACTAAACTGAGAGACTTAACACACAAACCCTCAGTAAAATTAAGCTAAAGATCTCAGTGGTAAAGGCACTTGCCGTGGGAGTCTGGTGACCTGAATTTGATCCACAGACCCCAATGAAAGTGGAAGGAGAGTACTAACTCCGTGGAATTGTCCTCTGAACTCCATATGTACACCTTGGTGTGTGTGCTCCTACACATACATCACACACAGTGATGGCAGTTCTTTTAAAAAAATTCTTTTAAAGACCTCAGTAGTGGTGACCACTTGGATATAATAATTGCTGATGAGATTATAGATAAACATAATGGTTCTAGCCTGTTTTATTCTTTTTTTTTTCTTTTTTCTTTTTTGCCTGTTTTATTCTTTTGCTCTATAAATTAAATGGCTGACTCTTCACGGTAGAGCAGTGAAGTTAAGGAAAGATCATGATGAAAAACTACGGTCTTAAGATCATTGGATAATATTTGAGGACCTTATTTTTCTCATCTGTATGATGGAAATAATAATGAGTTCAGGGCCAGGAGGTTGCCTGCAGAATCAAGGAATGCCTAGACTATAGAGTAAGACCCTGACTCCAAAGAGAGCAAGAGGAAGTACTAGAGAGATGTTCGGAAGTTAAGAACACTGGCTGCTCTTGGAGAGGATCTGGGTTGGGTTTCCAGCACACACATGGTGCTCACAACTGCCTGTAATTCCAGTTTCAAGGAACCCAAAACCCTTTTCCGGCCTCCACAGGCACTGCACGCTTGTGCACGTATACACATGCAGGCAAAACATTCATACACATTAAATGAAACTAAGGCTTTAAAAAAAGAAGAAGAAAAAAAGAAAGAATAAGGTTGAGATACCTGTCCAGCCTACCTCACAGGGATGTTGTGAGGATAAAATAAGTTATGAAACTAACTTGGGGGGAGGGGGATAAAGTGTTACACAGATGCAAGGTGTTATTTCTAACTGTTGACTATTGACAACTTAATGTTCTAAAAAAAATTTTAATCCTTGCATATTAGAAATACAGAAATGGTCCAGTCCAGCCAAAGTGTTCACTAGTTCATCTTGCCTATAGACCTGTACCACAAACAGAACACTGTGATGTCTATTCTTTCTTATTGGCCTGCAACAGTGACTCTGGATTCTCATTCGAGTGGCTGGCTGTTGCAAGGCCAGTTAATAGGATCTTTTATCTATTGAAGACAGCAAAGTTTTGCATACGAGGAAGGAGCTGGGCTGCAGGGAGAGAGCAGCAGATGGAAAGAAGCCTGATTGTCCTGATCTCATGGAAAACAACGGTCAGGAGGTGCTAGGGAACTAGTGCCAGGGTCAGTCTGCAGGAAAGGCCTTTCTAATAGGGACCAGCAACTGGACAGGTATGTTAGCCAAGAACCTCACTCTCCACTGCCCTTTCTGCCTCTCCTACTTTGCATTTTCACTTCCTATTCTTACACACAATGTGGGCCTGGGTGGGATGACTGGTAGTCATTCTGTGGGACCCCAGGTGAATACGAAGGCCTTTGTGTGCGTGCAGAAGATACTGTCTTACAGTTCACTCACAGAATGCCAGTGTTCTGTTAGCTGCTCTGAAGAACAGAAAACCCTTTCCACTACATCCCTTTGGTACTCTCTGCAGATCCTTTCCCCCAAGAAATCAAATTCCCAGCATTCCTCTTGTATGTTGTCTCTTACCGTGTAATCAGCTCACTCATGTTTCCTTCCTTTCTTTGATATTGTCTAGGATGGGGGAACCAGGGGACGCCGCTGTGCCATTGAAGCAGATATGAAGATGAAGAAGTGAAGCCTCAGAGTTCCCTCTTTAAGCTGAACCTGAACTAGGAATAAACGAGACATAGCTTGGGGCTTGTGGGCTCAGATCCACATTTGATCTTAGTCAAAGGCTGAGAAGCAATTATGAGTCCTGAAGAGAAGGTGCCTGGGCCAAATGACATGAGTTGAGAAAATCTCTTTTCAGAGAGTGGGAGTAGCACAGTTGCCCGTTTTAGGGCAAAAATCATGGGCTGTGTTAGTGCCCTACTGTGTAGCTAGCAGATTGTAGCCAATTTGTACTGTCTTGTGAAGTGTACAGACTTTTTTTAAAGAATAAACCTGTGAAGTGTGTGTATATAACAAACAGAAGGAAAACTCTGGCCTTTGGTGTGTCCTTTGTGTTTGAAATGTGTTTTCTTTACCACGGTAACTAATCATGAGGGATGGATTGTTAGCGCTGAGGAGTGGGTTTATAAGCTGTTTGCGGCAACTGAGAAGAGGTGAGTGGCCAAGACTAAACTCGCGATTAGTGTTTTTAAAAGAATTAATAAAGGCTATTTTATTGGGCTTTTCTTGAATGTTTGGAAAATGTGAAGATTATCAGGATCTAGTTCATACAATTCCTTAGGGATTAGAGAATGGACAAAGGCAGCAGAATAGGGCAGGAATGTTTTAAGCCAGGACTATCTTTGCTCATGCTATTGTTGTTTTTTGGAGCCTGTCCTGGAACCAGCTCTTGTAGACCAGGCTGACCTTGAACTCAGGAAATCCCCCTGCCTGCTTCCCAAGTGCTTGGATTAAAGTGTGCACCACCACCACCCATGCTATTGGTATTTGTGTAGGTAGAACTCATGCACAATATTCTTCGGTCTTTTGACAAGGTTAGCCTAGAGCTAAAAAATGCTCCAATTTCAATTTCCCCAGTAGTTTGGATTATAGGTGTGTGTACCACACTATGCTAAAACTACTCAAACAACAACAGAAACTTCCTGACTTATGTAAAGGTTAGTTTCTGAGGGGAAGTTTGGGGCCAGGCGTGTATTTGGTGTTACAGTGGCGCAGCTCGACTAGTTCTTGGCGATCTCCGCTGGTAGGGGAAAGAAATCACTTGAAAACAGCATGGTTCATACCAGTAACCCTAGCACTTGGGAACTGGGGGATCGCTGATGTTTGAGGCCAGACTGAACTGCAGAAGGAGCTCTTATCTCAGAACTACATTGGTGGGGCCTGATGGTGTCTCAGTGGTCCCGGTGTCCGCTGCCATCCCTGCAGTCCCTGTGGTGGGAGGAAAGACCTGACTCCTGCAAGTTGTGCTGTCGCCTCCACACACAATGGAGTGTGCCTTCTCATGTGTACGTGTCTGTGCACGCACAAGTGTAATTAACATTTCTAAAAATGTATTAAAAACCTTGTGACCTTAGTTTTACCTATCCTAACTTGTTTTTAAATAAAAATATTCATCAGTAAAATGAACTAGTATGAACCTTTTTAAAAATAAAGCTACTAGTAGGTCATGCTTTAATTCTTTATTCTTTCTTGAGAAAAAGGTTTAAGAATATGCCTAAAGCGAGGTGTGGTGGTGCACGCCTTTAATCCCAGCATTTGTGAGGCAGGGGCAGGTGGATCTCTTGTGAGTTCGAGGCCAGCCTGGTCTACATAGTGAGTTCCAGGCTAGCCAGGGCTACCTAGTTGAGACCCTGTCATTTAAAAAAAAAAAAAAAGATGTGCCTAGAAGTCACAAGTCTTACTGCTAAAATAGAACTGTTTGTAAATTTGAGGGTTTGGGATATGGTTTAGAGTTTATGAAGGATGCCTTGACTTTGATCCCTAGTCCTTCGTGGACCATTGTGACCCAAGCCTATTCCTGGCACTTAGAAGGTAGATAAAGGAGCATCAGTTCAAACTAATAATTGGCTACAGAGCAAAGTTCAGGTCACCCCGTGCTATACAAGACCCTGTTCAAAAATATAAAGTTTGTTAAGCTAAGGGAGAAGTTTTTGAGATGAAATAGAGTTGATTCCAGGAGTTAGAATATGAAATGAGTCTCAAAGCAGTTCACAGACAGGCATGCCTTACAAACACCAAGGCACTAGAAGCTGGAAAACTGCTGGGCATGGTGGTGCATCCTAGCACTCCAGAGGCAGAGGCAGGCGGATCTCAGTCACAAGCGAGACTAGTCTACAGAGTGAGTTCCAGGCCAGCCAGGGGCTGTGTGGTGAGACCCGACCTCAATCAATAAAAATTTTAAAAGTTTTTAAGTAGGGAAAGTTTGTGAATAAAGTACTCCAAAGATAATTTTCAGTTGGTAGAAAAACTGATGTATGAGTTTACCAAGATAGTAACTATTGGGGGCAAAACTAAGGAGGCATAGTTAGGACTCATGCTGTTTAGGAGTAAAGTTCAGATGAGACAAAAGGCACTCCTCCCTCAATGGTAAAGGCTAGGCACGGTGGTGCAGCTTTGTAATTCCAACCAACACTTGGGAAATTTTAGAATTTTGAGTTTGAAGATATATAAACATAGCAAGACAAACAAAAGGCAGAGAAAGTGAGATTAGGTTCTAGCACAGCAGGCAGCTCACAACTGTTAACTCCAGCAACTGAAGTGCCAACACTTCACACTGGGGTATATACATAAATGGTCATTTTAAATACTTTTTAAAAATCAAGGGAGCAACTTGAACAGAGAAAAAAGTTGAGACTTGAAATTAATGACAAAGCAGAAGACCAAGAACTCAAGAAAAGAATCTATTGAAAGCTGTGGCTAGGTGCTGGGGCTTAGCTAGCTTTCCTAGTGTGCTTGAAACTTGGGATTCCCTTCTACCAGCACACAAACCAGGTCCTTCTTGGCTGCCTACTGAGTGTGAAGCCAGTCTACGTGCCAACCTGTCTTTAGAAGAAAGAAAAACTGCTCTTGCAGAGCACCTGAGTTCGAGTCACAGCACCTACATCAGGTGTACCACCACTTGTAATCCAAGGGATCCAATCCCTCCCTCCACTGGCCCATGGACACCTACACACACAGCATTTACACGCTCACCACGTAAAAATAATAAAAATTTCCAAATGAATGAATGAGTAAGTGCTTCTGTTTTTATTCTGACAGTCAGATGTGACCAGAAGGATGCCAAAGGTAACCACAAGTGTTTTGAAACTAATGCTTAATAAATTAATAGATTAAAAGTTGTATATACTGAGGAAAATTTATCCTCAAGTTTATTGCCTTGCTGAGTCCATAGATATTTGGTGATAAAGCAAGTCTGTAAGCCAGGTATGCTCCAATTCTTCACCCCATTTTTATGCAGTATGAAACCCAAGTTTAAAAATGGGGTAATATAAACATGAAGCTATTTTTTATCCAAAAGATAAATTTTCATCTAATGTCTTTTTTTAGCTGGCTCTTATGCCTCCTAATGAAAGAAATTTCAAGACCCTTTCTATGAACTTGGAACATAGCAGTGTACTGGGAGAGTGAATTAATTTGTCTTGTTTTTATTTGAGCTAATGCCCCTTTTCTGTGTGTTACAGATGAGGAGTAAGTGGGTCTGGTCGAACTCTGGTCGCAGTGGCCCCGAGGACTCTGAGCTGAGCAATGTCTTGAGCTCCTGGGACTCCAGTCTTGATCTTGATGTGGGCAGTTGGAGGGAAACTGAGGATTCGGATGCAGAGGCTGAAGAACTAAAGGAAAGCAGCCCAGAGAAAGAATCTAGTGAGTTTTTTGAGGAAGATGTCCAGAGTGAAGAACCTCAGGAGGAGGGAGAGCAAGACAACAGCCAGAACCTCCTCCACTTCCCCTCTGAGGTAATGGTGAGGCTATTATTTCCACAGTTGGAAAAACCACACTTTACTCCCTTTCTTTTTCCTTTCCCCTTTCACTGTCTTTTCTTTTCCCCTTCCCTTCCTTTCACCTTCTCTTTTCTCTCATTTTGAGATCAGATATGGCTCCTTAGCCCCAGAAACCCTGCTTCAGCTTTCCTAGGCTGACATTTGCGGGCGTCCGCCGCCCTGGCCCACCCGACTTTTTACCAGAACGCTTATTACCCTTGCATGTTTCTACTACTGTTAGTCTTATTTACTGAAACGAAGGCTCAGGACTAAAGAGATGATTCAGTGGGCTCTTGCAGAGGACTGAAGTCTGGTTCCCAGCACCCACATCAGGCAGCCACAAATGCCTGTAACTCCAGTTGCAAGGGATCCAATACTCCCTTCTGACCTCTGAGGACACACACATGCATGTGTCATATACTCAGAAACACACACACACACACACACACACACACACACATAAAATTAAATTTTTTTGGTATGTATGTATGTATGTTTCTTTAAGACAGGGTCTCACTATGTAACTTTGGCTGTCCTGGAACTCACTATGTAGACCAGGTTAACCTGAAACAGATCTGCCTGCCTCTGTCTCCTGAGTGCTGAGACTAAAAGCATGCACCACCATGCCCAGCAAATAAAAATAAATCTTTAAAAAATAAAAACAAGATACAAGTACCACTGTGACAGTGGCTGGTTATTATGCCCCCAGCACTTGGTGCTGATATAGAATATGGGCCAAATATATAGTTTGCAATGGAATGACCTAAATCAAGTTTTTTAGGCCCCTGGGTCTTAGGAAGTAGAAATTTTTTTTAAAGATTTTTATTTATTATGTATACAATGTTCTATCTTCATATATGCCTGCATACCAGAAGAGGGCACCAGATCTCATTACAGATGGTTGTGAGCCACCATGTGGTTGCTGGGAATTGAACTCAGGACTTCAGGAAGAGCAATCAGTGCTCTTAACCTCTGAGCCATCTCTCCAGCCCAGAAGTAGAATTTTTTTAACAATTTATTTAATTTTATTTTATGTACATTGGTGTGAAGGTATCAGATCCACTGGAACTGGAGTTACAGACAGTTGTGAGCTACCATGTGGGTGCTGGGAATTGAATTCGAGTTCTCTGGAAAAGCAGCCAGTGCTCTTAACCAGTGAGCCATCTCTCCAGCCTAGGAAGTAGAATTTTAATATGCAGTGTTGCCTTATCATGAGTATCCTTGCTGTCTGTTCAAATGTCATTACCTTAGTTAAGGGCTGAGGACCAACATATTGGAACAATGAATTTATATTTATTCTGCAACTGCAAAGGAACATGTTCAAGAGAATGTGCATCAAGTTCAGCAAGTATCTAGTTCAAATGTTGCCACTTCTATAAAAGAAAAAGAGTTTACGTTTTCTAGACAGCTACTTCCAATTAATCACAATTGACACTTGAGATCAAAAATTATACCATAATCTGAAAGAGCTAAGATGTCTACATGTTCACTATGACCCACTGCCTTTGATAAAATTTAATAATTGAGGGGGCTAGGGAGATGATTCAGTGGTTAAGAGCACTGACTGCTCTTCCAGAGGATCCGGGTTCAATTCCCAGCACCCATATGGCAGCTCACAGCTGTCTGTAATTCTAGTTCCAGGAGACCCAACACTCATGGCAAAACACCAATGTATGCAAAATATAAATAAATAAATATTTTTTAATAATTGAATGATTAAATGGGTTAAATCTATTTGCCATCCTAGACTTAGTCATACTGACGGTGTGAGCATGTGGCATCACTGATGTATGGATGCTGGTTTCCATTGCTGTTCCTATGCATCTAATAATAAACTTTGATTGCAGGTAGCTTATTTAATGGAGCCATTGTGCATTAGCAGCAGAGACTCAAGGGGAAACTGTTGTCCTTCATCTGGTTGGTACCAGGCAACAGGAGAGAAGGGAGATGGAAACTACCCAAGTGAAAGAGGAGCCCTGCAGACAGACTGAAGAGTTTGTAGCCAAGCTAGATTTAGTGGCTGAAAAGAAGCTACTGAGAGAATATGGAAAGCCAAAGGCAGCTCCAGCCCCCACAGATATTATACCCTAGAGGGGCTGCCCACAGAAAGTGAAGAGGTAAACAACTTAAATCACCTGGTCTTCACAGGGAGGCGGAGCAGAGTGACTGCAACACAGAGCTGGACTCCACAGAGTTAGCTAAACTTTTTGGGTTCAAAGTCTGACTTCAGCACCAGTTTTAGCCATGTGATCTTCAGTGTGTTACTGGATATTTAGAACCCCTGTTTTCTCTGCTCCAAACAGATTAGTGTTCTACTTTAAAGATTTGTGTGTGTGTGTGTGTGTGAGAGAGAGAGAGATTTAATTGCAAGAATGCAGCCAGATATTATAACACATTCCTGTAATCCCAGCACTTGAAAGGCAAAGGCAGGAGGATCAGAAGTTCAATGCCATCCTTGGCTATACAATGAATTTCAAACCAGCATGGGCTATAAGACATCCTGTTTTAAAACCCAAAACAGGGCTGGGAGCGAGGTAAATTGGTAGAATGTTTCCTTAGCATGCATAAAACCTTGGGTTTGATCCCTAATTCCATATAATCAGGGTGTAAATGATACACACTCGTAATCCCAGCTGTCAAGAGGTGGCTGCGGGAGGATAAGAGTTTTGAGGTTATTCTCAGCTGCATCTAAGTCCAGCTTGAGGTAAATAAGATTGGGTTGCAAACAAAAGAGACAATTCAGTGGAGTTTAGTGATACACACCTGTAGTTCCAGTTACTCAGGAGTCTGAGGTGAAAGGATCATGTGACCTTGGGGGTTGAGATCTGCCTAGGCAAGATAGTAAGACCTGGCTCAGTTGTGCCCAGAGCACAACCCCCAGAGAGACCACCAGAGAGGCCCAGACTGTAATAAGCAAGGTTTATTTAGCGTAATACAAACATGTTTGGAACTCATCTCCAACCCAAGTTGCTTTTAAAGGTGTAACAACAAAGAGGCCTTTTGAAGCTGCTTTGGCACGGGTGCAAGATCTTTTTTTCAGTCCCATCCTGCTATGTCAGCTAGTTTTTTGTTCTTAGAGCAAGGCTACCCTGTTCCTGAGTCAGGCCACCTTTGTCAGCCTGTACCAGGTGGCTGGCTGGGCTGAGTGTCCGAGTGGGAGGGGGAAGGAAAGTGCTGTCTTTCTGGGAACGTGAGATCAGTCTGTGTTTTTAATTTTAAAACATTCTGCTAGGAAATTCCTTCTTGTCCCTTTGAGAATAAGGAGTGAGAGTCCCACAGCTCAAAACCAATAAATAGGTCAATAGGAAAAGATGGTGTGGATGTAGATGCAGCTAAAGAAGCTGTAGATGCAGCTAAAGGTGTTCGCTACCAATACTGAAGACTAAATTCCCTAGAATACACATGCTGGAAGGAGAAAACTGATTGCTGAAAGTTGTTCTCTGATCTTTACGAATGTTCGTGTGTGTGTGTGTGTGTGTGTGCACGCACACGTCTACACATGTGTGTAGAAATAAACGTAATAAGAACTAAAACAGCAAAATGTCTTGACATTCAGCTCATGTCAAGCACAATGTGTAGCTCATAACAAGTAGTTATTGCCAGGTGGTGATGGTGCGCACTTTAATCTCAACACTCAGAAGGCAGAGGCAGATGGATCTCTGGGTTTGAGGCCAGCCTGGTTTACACACCAAATTTCAGGATAGCCAGGGATACACAGAGAAACCCTGTCTTCAAAAAAACAAAACAAACAAAAATTGTTAGAGATTATGTATGGGAGCTTCATCCTCCTGTTTGATCCCAGCCACAGCTGTCTCTGTTCTTATGTCCTCAGAGAGCATGTACCCCAAACACAGGCAGAACAGAGTCAGAGCATGTACCCCAAACACAGGCAGAACAGAGTCAGAGGGTTGTTTTCAGCAGAAAGGAGAGCAGCAGCAGGAAATACACCTTTCAGAATGAAAGTCTGAGCTCAGTGGCAACAACCAGCTGCTGCTAGTTTCTGGCCTTAGAAGTCTTCATCTCCCATTTTAACCGAGTAGCCCATGCTGGGGCAGTAGGGGCGGTCTCTTTCCTGGAATAGGCAGGGGTTTCTCAGAAAATGTCTTTCCCCATAATTTAGTAACAACTAGATACATTAAATGTGGGACTACCTATGGTTGGAAAGTTTAGTGGGGGAAAGGGAATGGTACCCCGCTTGTACTCCTCAGGGAGGTGTCCATCCACAGGAATTGACTATAGCTAGCTGAGGCCTATTTTGATTTCTTTTTTCCTTGGATAGAGCTCAGCGTTTGAAGCATGCTAGTCAAACTCTCTACTGAGCTAACAGCCCCAGTGAGCTGTGTCACACCCCTCTCCGAGTCCTCTCATTTAGCTTTCCCAGTGTTCCTGAACTTGCCAATGCTTATTCTAATGTTTGTTTTAGCTTTAACAGAATCAGTCAATTTGGAATCTCATTGTTAATATTATCTGGCCGGCCATAATAGCTAGCTTTAAGACCACAGGTGATACAGAAAAGGTTAGGGTTTTGTTGTTGTTGTTGTTGTTGTTTGGCTTGTTTGTATGTTTCCCTACAGAGGTCAACATCAGATTTAGAATTAAATTCACATTTTCATTTTGGGGCATTTAAAAATTGTTGAGATTATCACGGAAGTCTTCAGTGATCTGTCTAACAAAGTCATCCTTCTCTGATTTTCCTGGTAACTGTACAGAACTGACCTCTTCTCACCTTACGGTCTGCCTTCACTTATTCTATATAAGTAAAGTTATGATGCAGATAGTACATCTCTAAAGTTTCCTGTGCTTTTTGGGTTTCCCAGGGGGAGACTCAGCAGGACTCAAAAGAGGAGGATCAGGGTGAAGGGGATACTTCGGACGTGGACGAGCAGCCCCCGTCAGGTGACCATGATGACGGCATAAGCGCTCAGGAAACTCCCCTGGTGGACATCCTTTACAACTGCCCCAACTCCTCGCAACTGTAAGTACAGCACTGGGGGTGCCTGTGCCACACACGAGGTACCAAAGGTGATCCCCAGCACTGCTGGGACTCAGCATAGACCTTCATCCAGGGTTGTTAGGATTCACGCTTTTATCTACTTCTCTTGAATTTGTTAGTATGAAATGAATTATTTTTATAAGTTTTGAAAGGGGTTACAGGTGGAAAATATAGTGCTAATATATACGTGTAAGCAAAATGCTAATGCACATAAAATTAAATAAATCTTAAGAACAACCAACAGCCTGTTTTGTTGACATTAAGAGAGCCTTTGTGGATGAGGATGTGGCTCAGATGTAGATGAAAAGCCCTAGGTTCAATAACCAGCACTGTGAAAAAGAAGGGAAGAGAGTCTCAATCATAAATAAACCTTCTCAATAATTGCTAGTTTAATTTACTTAAGAAATAGTGATAAGTGATCTACTATTATACAAAATATACCTTTTTAAAAATTACTGGAACTGGGCCAGGAGTACATGCCTGTGCTCTCAGCACTAGGGATGCTGAGGTAGGACCAGGAGTACACGCCTGTGCTCTCAGTGCTAAGGAGGCTAAGGTAGGAAGTTTGCTGCAAGTTCAAGGTCAGCGTGGTCTACTTAGCGAGTTCCAGGACAGCCAGAGCTACAGAGCAAAACCGTGTCTCAAAATTAATTTTGTAGAAACTTATTTTTAAAAATTATTGTTTTTCCCCCAAGACAGGGTCTCATGCAGCCCAAGCTAGCTTCAAATTAGCTATGTAGTTGAGGATACCTTGCTCTTCCTATTTCTACCTTCCAAGTGCTAGGATTATAAATCTAAGTCATCATGACCAGCTCTTTAAGATTAAAGTTTATGCGTTCCCTTTATCTTGCATGTACCTTGGGAAATAGTTAATATAATTGTTTTATTTTTTGTAGATAATTGAAGGACTAAAGACCATATTTTACACATCTATTTGTTTTGAAATATGGTCTTACTAGGCAGCTCTTGTTGGCCCGTGTCTTGTTATGCTCCTGCCTCTGACTCTTGAGTGCTGGGATTACAGGTATATTCACCATGTTCTCCTCAAACTGTTTTTTGGAAAGCAAAAAATAGCGAGCTATGTTGGTACAGGCAGGCTGTAATCTTAGCACTCTAGGAGGCTGATGAACCTGTTTTTGTGTGGTATTACTACTGGGGAAATTCAAACAAACATCTGCTTACATCAACAGGGAACTGATCACAGACCAAAGTAATGATATCACCAAAGTCCAACTTGGTGAATTAATGAGTTTATTAGGGTAATTTACAGAAGCATAGGTGAGAGGTTACTTATTGGAGAATGGGATGTCTGAAAGGTAGCACTGAAAGCCCACCCCATCATGGGTAACATCTCATGAAAACTGAAACCTTAAGATTTCTCTGTATAACTTGTAGATGGGATCTGATCAGTAGATGGGAGAGTCTCCTTAGAAGTCCTTACTATTTATATAACTTTGGTGGGGGAGGAGCTTGTGAATCTTCTTAGTTTCAGGGACTTCCTGAGACTTGCCAGTTGTTTGCTTCCTGATCTTAATGAGTCCCCTAATGAGTTGAAAAGGAAGTCCTTTTAGAACTTCCAGAGTCTTTTCTTTGTTGTGTCTTGTTTTGAGACAAGGAATCAAACCTGGCTGTCCTAGAACACGGTATGTAGACCAGGCTGAAACTCACAGAGATCCACCTTTCTTTGCCTCCCAAGTGCTGGGATTAGAGACATATGACAACATGTCTGACAACTTCCTGAATCTTCAAGGAACTTCATTTCAAAATGGGATGTTTAAATTCAATATAAATTGCATATATCTTCTGTATCTTAGGGGAAAAAAAGAAAGGTGAAAGAGAGAGGAGACAGGAGAAAGAAAAGAAAGCAATAGAATAGTGGTGATGATGTCTGCTTGATCAAATATTTTTTTTATTTATTTGGTTGTTGAACCAGAGTCTCATGTAACCCAGACTGACCTAGAACTCAGTATGTAGCTGAGAATGATCTTAAACTTCTGATCCTACTGTCTCTGCCTAAGTGAGATTATAGGCTTGGCCAGTTACCTTAAGTGGGGATAGAAAACTGAATTCTTATGTTAAAGCACAAGTTTAAAGCCCCTTTAAAAAACTGGGCCTGGTGCCTCCCATCTACTATCCCAGAACTCATGAGTTCCCTGGTTGACCTAATAACTTCCAGTCTGGCTACAAAGTGAAACTCTCTGTCAAACAACAATAACAGCAGTCCCTAGGGTGCGGGGAAGGTAGAGGTAGACCCCAAAGGTAGAGTGCACTGATAGAACTCTTGGCTAGTATACTCAAGGCCTTGTGTTTTAGCATTGGAAAACAAAATCAGACAGAACAGGTGTTCACCAGGCTCTTTTCTATCTCAGTCTGTAGTCTGTATTGACAGGGACAAGAGAAACAGACCTTTAGGGTCTGGTCCTACTACACTGTACACCTACTCCCTTGCTTTTGCTCTCATTTATGTTACTTAGTATTTGTCTCCATAGAGGTAAAATAAAAGTAAGACAGAGATTCTTTTTTTTTTCTTTTTCTTTTTTTTTTTAGTAATTTTATTAAATTATAAAAAGTTTCCATTTACGCCCCTCCTCCCAACGCCCTCCCACTCCCCCCTCCCTCTCCTCCTCCCTCTTTGTCCCCAAGGG